TTTGGCATGGGCCCTCAGATCCTCAAAAAGTTATACAGCTGCACCATTGTTAGCATCTTGACTGGCTGCATCACCGCTTGGTACGGCAACTGCTTGCCATCCGACCACAAGGCGCTATGGAGGGTAGTGCGTACGGCCCAGTACATCACTGGGGCCGAGCTCCCTGCCATTCAGGACCTCTATACCAGGCGGTGTCAGAGGAAGGCCCTAACAAATGTCTGACTCCAGCCACCGAAGTCATAGACTGTTCTCTCTGCTACCACAGGGCAAGCGTTACCGATGCAGTCTGGAACCAATAGCACCCTGAACAGCTTCTACCGCCAAGCCATAAAACTGCTAAATAGTTAGCTAATCCAGGTAGCTATTGATTAACTATTTATCTGCATTGACCCTTTTTTCACTACCTATTTTGACTCATCACATCTGCTGTTTATTATCTACCCCAATTATCTTGTACCCCTGCACATCGACTCGGTACTGGTACCCTGTGGTGGTCCTCTGTAGCTCAGCTGGTAGAGCACGGCGCTTGTAACGCCAAGGTATTGGGTTCGATCCCCGGGACCACCCATACACAAAAAAGAAATGTATGCACGCATGACTGTAAGTCGCTTTGGATAAAAGCGTCTGCTAAATGGCATATTATTATTATATAGCCAAGTTATCGTTACTCATTGTGTATTTATTCCTCGTATTATAATTTTTTCTCTCTCTGCATTGTTGGAAGGGCCCGTAAGTAAGCATTACACTGTTAGTCTACACCTGTTGTTTACGAAGAATGTGACAAATAAAATGTGATTTGAGTTTAGCGTTTTTTTTAACCATTTTAATTGAAAGCAATGACAGTAAGGTACTTAATTGTTTCTTTTCTTTTTCTTTTTTTGGGCCCCCTCTTCGGAGGACAAAAATAAACATTGTTATTACAGCTTTTTCTTTTGTTGTTACATGTACATTCTACACACATTTTACATGGCTTTAAAAAATATATATACACTACCAGTCAAAAGTTTGGACACACACACTCATTCAAGGGTTTTTCTTTATTTGTACTATTTTTTACATTGTAGAATAATAGTGAAGACATCAAAACTATGAAAGAACACATATGGCATCATGTAGTAACCAAAAAAGTGTTCTTCAAGGATTCTTCAAATAGCCACCCTTTGCCTTGATGACAGCTTTGCACACTCTTGGCATTCTCTCAACCAGCTTCATGAGATAGTCACCTGGAATGCATTTTAATTAACAGGTGTGCCTTCTTAAAAGTTAATTTGTGGAATTTCTTTCCTTCATAATGTATTTGAGACAATCAGGTGTGTTGTGACAAGGTAGGGGGGGGGGTATGCATAAGATAGCCCTATTTGGTAAAAGACCAAGTCCATATTATGGCAAGAACAGCTCAAATAAGCAAAGAGAAACAACAGTCCATCATTAATATTACTTTAAGACATGAAGGTCAGTCAATCTGGAACATTTCAAGAACTTTGAAAGTTTCTTCAAGTGCAGTCACAAAAACCATCAAGCGCTATGATGAAACTGTCTCTCATGAGGACTGCCACAGGTATGGAAGACCCAGAGTTACCTCTGCTGCAGAGGATACGTTCATTAGAGTTATCCAAATAAATGCTTCACAGAGTTTAAGTCACAGACACATCTCAACATCAACTGTTCAGAGGAGACTGCATGAATCAGACCTTCATGGTCAAATTTCTGCAAAGAAACCACTACTAAAGGACACCAATAATAAGAGACTTGCTTGGGGCAAGAAACACGAGCAATGGATATTAGACCGGTGAAAATGTGTCCTTTGGTCTGGAGTCCAAACTTGAGATTTTTGGTTCCAACCGCCGTGGCTTTGTGAGATGCGGTGTGGGTGAAACGGATGATCTCCGCATGTGTATTTCCCACCGTAAAGCATGGAGGAGGAGGTGTTATGGTGTGGGGGTGCTTTGCTGGTGACATTGTCTGTGATTTATTTAGAATTCAAGGCACACTTAACCAGTATGGCTACCACAGCATTCTGCCGTCGAAACGCAATCCTATCTGGTTTGGGCTTAGTGGGACTATCATTTGTTTTTCAACAGGACAATGACCCAACACACCTCCAGGCTGTGTAAGGGCTATTTGACCAAGAAGGAGAGTGATGGAGTGCTGCATCAGATGACCTGGCCTCCACAATCCCCCGACCTCAACCCAATAGAGATGGTTTGGGATGAGTCGAACCACAGAGTGAAGGAAAAGCAGCCAACAAGTGCTCAACATATGTGGGAACTCCTTCAAGACTGTTGGAAAAGCATTCCAGGCGAAGCTGGTTGAGAGAATGCCAAGAGTGTGCAAAGCTGTCATCAAGGCACAGGGTGGCTACTTTGAAGAATCTCAAATATATTTTTGGTTACTACATGATTCCATGTGTTCTTTCATAGTTTTGATGTCTTCACTATTATTCTATAATGTAGAAAATAGTAAAAATAAAGAAAAACCCTTGAATGAGTAGGTGTGTCAACTTTTGACTAGTACTCTATATATTTTATAGTAGTTACATAGCAAGAATAAAGTAATTTGATATGTTGATATTTCAGCCATTCCTGAACCTGTGACCAGAAACACTACTTCATTGTTACCCAGAAATGATTTGCTTATGAGATCAATTTTTTTTTAAATGGCTGCATTGAACCTGAAAGGCACTTTCCCAGCGGCCAAGTCAGCAGTATTTTTTGGTTGCCCGAAAGTTATGGTCACTTGCCCGAAAATGGGAAAACACACAGAAATGCCTTAACTTGTTGGTCTCTTGATTAAACATCTGTTTTACTGGCCTGCTACAAAGGACGTGTAACTTTTGCCGAGCGTGAGACGCTCTTATTCATTTCAATGAAACCTGGGCGTGAGTGCGCCAGCTCCACGAGACGCTTGCACTGCTCGAGCTTAAAATGACACTCTTTGTTCTATTTTCAAGATTTTGACGCGCCGCTCACGGCTGACAGTACCTATTAACTAGCACTTCTATTCCACCTCACCACGCTAGCCTTACCCTCGTGTGGGTGCTAGCAAGCATGCTAGGTACTGGTGACCCGCGGATCAATCAGATGTCATATTAAATTATTGATTTTTTAGCTTAGGGCCCCCAAAAGGATAAGGCCGGCTCTGATTGCAGGTGTAGGTATGGATGTGGGTATGCAGAGTTTTTTGTGGCCCCCACCCCATCAAAGTTGCCCATCCCTAACTTAAACAATGGGGTTGAACCAGAAAGATCAGTTTTAGGGCAGTCTGCCATATGTTCCCTCAGCCCTATGTTCCCTCAACCCATGTTCCCTCAACCCATTTTCCCTCAGCCCTATGTTCCCTCAGCCCTATGTTCCTTCAGCCCTCAGTACCCACTGACACAATTTCAATCAAAATTGGCACAAATTCTTGTTGTGCCAACGTAGAAAACTAGGATTATTTAAGCATCTACACAAATATGTAAGGGTATTATATGACCTACTGAATATGTTAAATCACTATGACCTTTTGTCAATATTACAGCAGTTGCATTTTCTGAGATTTTTGTATTTTTATCTCAGCATCTACTCAAGTAAAAATAAATGTAATGCTTTATCGGAGCAGTTCTATGCAAGGTACAAAAGCAATATGTTACAATCAATACACATGCATCTGATCTGTTATTGATGGTCCTTATTTATTCATTCACGCAACAGTGGATCAACTCACCAAAAGACCTGTGAAAGGATGTGAAAAATATATACGCTATAGGCAATCCCACATTAACAGAATGATGCTGAGACTCAAAATGTATGTCAAAGAAACCATACAATATGCACAATGATTATTTTTAACAATGGCCACTGAACATTTGACAAAAACAGATTTACTTAAAGTAGAGATCAGATGCAAAGTTTGGTAACAGAATGAAATAATAAATAGCACAATCCGTCATTCTGTTACCAAACTTTGCATCTGCACTGTTCTTCAAGTAAATGTGTTTTTGTAAAATGTTCATAGGAGATTGTTAAAAAAGTAGTCCTTGTGCATAGAGTTGTATAGTTTGCAAAGTTAAACAATCATTGGATTTTGTTTGACAGACTTTTTAAAGTGAAGAATCTGAGTCTCAGCATCATTCTGTTTCCTTGGAATTACCCCTATGTAAAATATTTGTTTTCACATAACATCAAGTTTTTGTTTATAATGTCCCTCTTTTTGTTTTTTCCTCTCTTAAACAGGGGTACATTCCGTGCACCTCCAAAAAATACTAGATATTGAGAGAATAAGGTTCTTCCTCTCATTTGGGTGGCTGACCCCTGGTTTACAAAATAGGACTGAGGTAACATAGGGCTGAGGAAACATGGGGCAGAGGGAACACGGGGCTGAGGGAACACGGGCTGAGGGAACACGGGGCTGAGGGATCACGGGGCTGAGGGAACACGGGCTGAGGGAACACGGGGCTGAGGGAACACGGTGCTGAGGGAACACGGGGCTGAGGGAACACGGGGCTGAGGGAACACGGGGCTGAGGGAACACGGGGCTGAGGGAACACAGGGCTAAGGGGAACATAGATGGGAACTGAGAGAACATGGGGCTGAGGGAACATGGGTCTGAGGGAACATGGGTCTGAGGGAACCTAGGACTTAGGGAATATAGACATGGTCCCGTTTTAGGCTTACTGGAATTCCTTACCTTTTTGTTGTTTTCAGTTAAAAGAACTTGCCCGACTGCTAAGTTCACTCACACCAGGAAATAGAGCAACCCTTGAGGTCCCTGCTACAACTAGGTTCCATAGTTTTACCTGCAGGTAACCATCAGGAGAGAAATAAATTGCCCCACCTCCAGCAGACCGGCATCTCCGGCTTCCCTAACATCACAGACATTCCGAACAGAAGTGCTGTGATGTAACGGAATGTGCAGTTGCTATGCAATTGTATCCAATGTTATACTTTATGTGCCTTGTAAAGGGCAAACAGGAAATGTGGTGAACATTTTAATTGAGTTGACTTATTCCTTGTTCGCAGGACTTTTTTCAAAGAGCTTGAAAATTGCATGGAAAGGCCAGAGTTGTTGGGGACTTGCTTTTTGAAAAGGGTGAGTTCCTTGTGTGTTTGGAAACTGAAGGCCGTTACTGTGCTGTTACGGTGTGTTGCAGTGCTACGTCTCTGTGTGTGTCTCTCTCCAGAAAGAAGAGCTGCAGATCTATGAGAAATACTGTCAGAACAAGCCCCGATCAGAGGCACTGTGGAGACAGTGTGGCGACAGCCTGTTTTTCCAGGTGACTCCCATTCCCTGTGTGTCTCTGTGTTGACATGGTTATGATATTATATTCTACTATATAATGGTGTCAGTTTACATTAAGCAACATGTCATTGGACAAACTTAAATGTTCTGTTTGGATGACTTAAATGATAACATTGACTTAACACAAATGATTGCAACTAGAAACATTCTCTGATGTATGAAAAAAAAAAAAATGCACTCACTAACTGTAAGTCGCTCTGGATAAGAGCGTCTGCTAAATGACTAAAATGTAAATGTAAATGTTTGTTACTGCAGGAATGTCAGAAGAAGCTGGACCACAAACTCTCCCTGGATGCCTATTTACTCAAACCTGTGCAGAGGATCACCAAGTACCAGCTGATGCTCAAGGCAAGTTTATCACGGAGGTCAAATCTCTCACCTTAGCACCATACAATCAAGCCTTCTACATCAACACACAGATAACAGATACTATGCTCACACATGCTCTTTGGACTAACATGCAGAGCACTTATTTCAGGCTAATCTGATTGGAAGTCTCAAGTATCACCTGGAATGCTTTTCCAACAGTCTTGAAGGAGTTCCCACATATCCTGAGCACTTGTTGGCTGCTTTTTCTTCACTCTGCGGTCCAACTCATCCCATCTCAGTTGGGTTGAGGTCGGGTGATTGTGGAGGCCAGGTCATCTGATGCAGCACTCCATCACTCTCCTTCTTGGTCAAATAGCCCTTACACAGCCTGGAGGTGTGTTGGGTCATTGTCCTGTTGAAAAACAAATGATAGTCCCACTAAGCGCAAACCAGATGGGATGGCGTATCGCTGCAGAATGCTGTGGTAGCCATGCTGGTTAAGTGTGCCTTGAATTCTAAATAAATCACTGACAGTGTCACCAGCAAAGCACCCCCACACCATCACACCTCCTCCTCCATTCTTTCACGGTGGGAACCACACATGCAGAGATCATCCATTCACCCACACCGCGTCTCACAAAGACACGGCGGTTGGAACCAAAAATCTCAAATTTGGACTCCAGACCAAAGGACAGATTTCCACCGGTCTAATGTCCATTGCTCGTGTTTCTCGGCCCAAGCAAGTCTCTTCTTCTTATTGGTGTCCTTTAGTAGGGTTTCTTTGCAGCAATTCGACCATGAAGGCCTGATTCACGCAGTCTCCTCTGAACATCTGCATTGCTTGCTGTTTGGGGTTTTAGGCTGGGTTTCTGTATAGCACTTTGTGACATCTGCTGATGTAAAAAGGGCTTTATAAATCAAATTTGATTGATTGATTGAACAGTTGATGTTGAGATGTGTCTGTTACTTGAACTCTGTGAAGCATTTATTTGGGCTGCTATTTCTGGTAACTCTAATTAACTTATCCTCTGCAGCAGAGGTAACTCTGGGTCTTCCTTTCCTGTGGCGGTCCTCATGAGAGCCAGTTTCCGCATAGCGCTTGATGGGTTTTGTGACTGCTCTTGAAGAAACTTTAAAAGTTCTTGAAATTTTCCGGATTGACTGACCGTCATCTCTTAAAGTAGTGATGGACTGTCATTTCTCTCTGCTTATTTGAGCTGTTCTTCTTATAATATGGACTTGGTTTTTTTCCAAATAGGGCTATCTTCTGTATACCACCCCTACCTTTTCACAACACAACTGATTGGCTCAAGTGCATTAAGAAGGAAAGAAATTCCACAAATTAACTTTAACAAGGCACACCTGTTAATTGAAATGGTTTCCAGCTGACTACCTCATGAAGCTGGTTGAGAGAATGCCAAGAGTGTGCAAAGCTGTCATCAAGGCAAAGGGTGGCTACTTTGAAGAATCTCAAATATAAAATTAGTTTAACACTTTTGGTTACTACATGATTATTTCATAGTTTTGATGTCTTCACTATTATTCTACAATGTAGAAAATAGTAAAAATAAAGAAAAACCCTTGAATGAGTAGGTGTGTCCAAACTTTTGACTGGTACTGTATGTATTTCTCATGCCTAGTGCACCTTGTTATCTTGCTGTATAACCCCCCACACAGAGAGGTCAGTACCTGTAGCCATGTCGCTGAAAAGACACAGCTGAATGGATATTGAATAGTACAAGTGGCTGTTGGTCTCAGAGTGGTTTCTTTGCAGTAGCCTGTGTGGTTGGAAAGGCTTCACTCTTAGCCTTGGTCTGTTGTTAGCGTAGGAGTAAGCCAAACACTGAGGATACATTATTTATCCGACTTCACTTTGTCCTCACCGGCTCTGTTCCCCCTCTAGGAGATGCTGAAATGCAGTAAGAACCAGGAGGGTACTGCTGAGTTGGAGGAGGCCCTGGCCACCATGCTGGACATCATCAAATCTGTCAATGACTCCATGCATCAGATTGCCATAACAGGATTCGAGGTCAGTTTGACTCGGATGGAGTTTAAGGGTGTGAAAAATCAGTTTGTTGCCTATCTTAGAGTGGGCTAAAGGGAAGGTTCTAGGACATCCTGCCGTAAATGAGTTTGACTAATCGGGCGGAGAGAGACTGCATGGCTAGGCTGTATAGATGTATAGAGGGTGTACTGTACAGTGCCTTGCAAAAGTATTCATCCCCCTTGGCGTTTTTCCTATTTTGTTGCATTACAACCTGTAATTTAAATGGATTTTTATTTGGATTTCATGTAATGGACATACACAAAATAATCCAAATTGGTGAAGTGAAATGAAAAAAATAACTTGTTTAAAAAAATTCAAAAAAATAAATAACGGAAAAGTGGTGCGTGCATATGTATTCACTCCCTTTGCTATGAAGCCCCTAAATAAGATCTGGTGCAACCAATTACCTTAGAAGTCACATAATTAGTTAAATAAAGTCCACCTGTGTGCAATCTAAGTGTCACATGATCTGTCACATGATCTCAGTATATATACACCTGTTCTGAAAGGCCCCAGAGTCTGCAACACCACTAAGCAAGGGGCACCACCAAGCAAGCGGCACCATGAAGACCAAGGAGCTCTCCAAACAGGTCAGGGACAAAGTTGTGGAGAAGTACAGATCAGGGTTGGGTTATAAAAAAAAATATCAGAAACTTTGAACATCCCACGGAGCACCATTCAATTCATTATTAAAAAATGGAAAGAATACGGCACCACAACAAACCTGCCAAGAGAGGGCCGCCCACCAAAACTCACGGACCAGGAAGGAGGGCATTAATCAGAGAGGCAACAAAGAGACCAAAGATAACCCTGAAGGAGCTGCAAAGCTCCACAGCGGAGATGGGAGTATCTGTCCATAGGACCACTTTAAGCCATACACTCCACAGAGCTGGGCTTTACGGAAGAGTGGCCAGAAAAAAGCCATTGCTTAAAGAAAAAAATAAGCAAACACGTTTGGTGTTCGCCAAAAGACATGTGGGAGACTCCCCAAACATATGGAAGAAGGTACTCTGGTCAGATGAGACTAAAATTTAGCTTTTTGGCCATCAAGGAAAACGCTATGTCTGGCACAAACCCAACACCTCTCATCACCCTGAGAACACCATCCCCACTGTGAAGGATGGTGGTGGCAGCATCATGCTGTGGGGATGTTTTTCATCGGCAGGGACTGGGAAACTGGTCAGAATTGAAGGAATGATGGATGGCGCTAAATACAGGGAAATTCTTGAGGGAAATCTGTTTCAGTCTTCCAGAGATTTGAGACTGGGACAGAGGTTCACCTTCCAGCAGGACAATGTCCCTAAGCATACTGCTAAAGCAACACTCGAGGGGTTTAAGGGGAAACATCTAAATGTCTTGGAATGGCCTAGTCAAAGCCCAGACCTCAATCCAATTGAGAATCTGTGGTATGACTTAAAGATTGCTGTACACCAGCGGAACCAATCTAACTTGAAGGAGCTGGAGCAGTTTTGCCTTGAAGAATGGGCAAAAATCCCAGTGGCTAGATGTGCCAAGCTTATAGAGACATACCCCAAGAGACTTGCAGCTGTAATTGCTGCAAAAGGTGGCTCTACAAAGCATTGACTTTGGGGGGGAGGGAGGGTGAATAGTTATGCACGCTCAGGTTTTCTGTTTTTTTTGTCTTATTTCTTGTTTGTTTCACAATAGAAAATATTTTGCATCTTCAAAGTGGTAGGCATGTTGTGTTTATCAAATGATACAAACCCCCCAAAAATCTATTTTAATTCCAGGTTGTAAGGCAAAAAAATAGGGGGTGAATACTTTTGCAAGCCACTATATGTGCCAGCATGTGGGACTGATGGCCTCTGTGTGTCTCTCTCACCCCCCCAGGGAAACCTTAGTGAGCTGGGGAAGCTCCTGAGGCAGGGCTCGTTCAACGTGTGGACGGACCACAAGAAGGGCCACAGCAAGGTGAAGGACCTGGCCCGCTTCAAGCCCATGCAGAGGCACCTGTTCCTCTACAACAAGATGCTGCTCTTCTGTAAGAAGCGGGAGGAGACCACGGACGAGAAGCCGTCACCCTCCTATAGCTTCAAGCACTCACTAAAGGTGAGGTCGGTTGGTGGGATCAGTTCTTGTTGGACAAACATAACCTGTGTGTATATACAAACATCACCTTTTATGTAAGGGAACCATTTCTGACCTGAAATTTGAACAAGAAAGCATGTGCTAAGTCCATTTGCTTGACTGTAGGGCCATACTGCCCACTATCCTACACTAAGTTCCCCCGCCTCAAATGAAAACTTTACAGTGGCTATCTCAGACCCCTGAGATCCTTGGTATTCACTGTCACTCCCCATATTTCAATTCAAGCTTATCTGGACGTATGAAAAATCAAGGCAGTAAACAGGGCCCTACGATGACAGGACCCTTTCATCACTGGGACGCTGGAACAACTATTTGTTTTCTTGAAGAAACCTTTGAACTTGTTTTCTTCTCCCACTCGCTGGCTAGTGTGCATGTAATCAATGAGTAATTCCACTCATCGCTCAATAGAAGTGAAAAGACACATTTCAGCTTGTTAAAAAAAAGCTGTAGCAGTTCACATTGGAAGAATACAAGGTGAATCAGCGGTGTAAATATAAAATATAAAGCCGTCACTGTTGTTAACCACAGCCTTGCCTTTGTTTCAGATGAGTGCAGTGGGAATCACAGAAAATGTCAAAGGAGACATTAAGAAGTTTGAGGTCTGGTATAACGGCAGAGAGGAAGTCTATATCATTCAGGTACATGTCCATATAGTTTCTGTGTAAAAAAAAAACTTCCAAAACACTTTGATATTACAAGTTATTGTCTAAAGAATTCCAAATACAGTGCCTTCGGAAAGTATTCAGACTCCTCGACCTTTTCCACATTTTGTTACGTTACAGCCTTATTCTAAAATGTATTACATTGTTTATTTCCCCTCATCAATCTACACACAATACCCCCGAATGACAAAGCAAAAACTGTTTTTTTAGAAATGTTTGCAATACTTTCTGAATGTGCTGTATCTCTCACTCTTGAGACAAATGCCTTTTCTGTATGAGTTTCTCCCTTTGACCACTGGGTGGCAGTGTTGCCCTATGAAGAGTAGCCCCCCTCAGACTTCATTCTCACAGAAACATCCACTGTCTGGTGTGAGACAGGCTGTAGAGTGTGTGTGTATATTTATATGTATGACTGTGTGTTTGTGTGTCTCCACAGGCTCCCTCCATGGATGTGAAGAACATGTGGGTGTCAGAGATCCGAAAAGTTCTGACGGGCCAGCTTGAAGCTTGCAGAGGTATACAGTGGGGGGGTTCTCTCTCTAGGCATATTCAAACCACCCTCTCTCTCATACAGCACTAGACACCTGAACAGAGCCCTGAACCCTGTCAGAATGCTGATGTGAATGTTAAGCAGTGGGAGGGGGGGGGGGGGGGGGGGTGTTATCCAGTGTTGGAGGAGAGCTGATATAGAGATAGGGGAGGGAGGTGGACAACTGTTTGAGAACACATTCCTGACCCTGACGGTACAGTCCACTCACTCACACACTCCTCTCCCTCCGCCGCCCTCCAGCAGTATGCATCAATCGCCGACTGTTCCGCTCTGAAGATCCTGACAGTCAGGAAAACGACCCTCTGCGCTGTCTACACTCGGCTGGACTGACAAGCTGTGTGTGAGAGAGAGGATGTGTGTGTGTGTGTGAGGTGACTGAGTAATAACATAGCAGCCCACATATGAAGCAGAGTGAGAGAAAGAGGCTCTGGCCTGCTGGAGGGTTGGAGGTGATTTACGCCTGTCTCGGCTGGCGAGCGGGGGGAGGGGAGGTCAGCACGTAGCAACATAGAGCAGCACACAAGATAAGCCACTGTGTGCGGTATTAAAAAGCCCAGCGACGTGGGGTTTGTGTAATAGCAGGACAAGGCCAGCTTACAGACAATCCAGCTTCAGCAGTGGCTTGCACTGCGGCTACAGGCTGCAGCTGTTTGATTTGATTCCTCCCCTGGGCCTTGGCAGTCAACTGTCCTGTCCTCCTGTTAAAGGTCCACTGCAGCCATTTTGATCTCAATATCAAATAATTTCTGGCTAACAATAAAGTACCTTACTGTGATTGTTTTCAATTAAAATGGTCAAAAAGAAACAAAAATAGCTTCTTAGCAAAGAGCAATTTCTCAAGCAAGAATTTTGCTAGGACTGGGAGTGGTCTGAGTGGGGAGGGGAAAACTGAAAATTAGCTGTTATTGGCAGAGAGGTTTGTAACTCTCTTTCTTATTGGTCTATTAACTAATTTATCGCCTGCCCTGGTGATGTCACCAGGCAGGCCAAAACTCCATCACACCAAAAGAGGCTGAAATTCCAGCCAGTCTTTTCAAACAACTCTTACACTAAAAGGGCTTTATCATAATTTTCACAATTTCACAGCATTATTGAAACCTCATAGTGTGGAAATGTATATAAAACACAGGAAAATCACATTTTGACTGCACTGGGCCTTTAAAGACACGGATTAGTGGCTTCCATTCTGTCTGCACCACTGTTTTGGTCTATGGCTTCAGGTATGATTGCACTGTTTTGGTCCACAGACTCTCCTGTGGCTTATGTGACTCCTGGGATTTCTCCTGTTTTATCGCCTGGCATTGAAACACATACAGTGAGGGAAAAAAGTATTTGATCCCCTGCTGATTTTGTACATTTGCCCACTGACAAAGACATGATCAGTCTATAATTTTAATGGTAGATTTATTTGAACAGTGAGAGACAGAATAACAACAAAATAATTCTGAAAAACGCATGTAAAAAATGTTTTAAATTTATTTGCATTTTAATGAGGGAAATAAGTATTTGACCCCTCTGCAAAACATGACTTAGTACTTGGTGGCAAAACCCTTGTTGGCAATCAGAGGTCAGACGTTTCTTGTAGTTGGCCACCAGGTTTGCACACATCTCAGGAGGGATTTTGTCCCACTCCTCTTTGCAGATCTTCTCCAAGTCATTAAGGTTTCGAGCCTGACGTTTGGCAACTCGAACCTTCAGCTCCCTCCACAGATTTTCTATGGGATTAAGGTCTGGAGACTGGCTAGGCCACTCCAGGACCTTAATGTGCTTCTTCTTGAGCCACTCCTTTGTTGCCTTGGCCGTGTGTTTTGGGTCATTGTCATGCTGGAATACCCATCCATGACCCATTTTCAATGCCCTGGCTGAGGGAAGGAGGTTCTCACCCAAGATTTGACGGTAAATGGCCCCGTCCATCGTCCCTTTGATGCGGTGAAGTTGTCCTGTCCCCTTAGCAGAAAAACACCCCCAAAGCATAATGTTTCCACCTCCATGTTTGACGGTGGGGATGGTGTTCTTGGGGTCATTGGCAGCATTCCTCCTCCTCCAAACACGGCGAGTTGAGTTGATGCCAAAGAGCTCGATTCTGGTCTCATCTGACCATAACACTTTCACCCAGTTCTCCTCTGAATCATTCAGATGTTCATTGGTAAACTTCAGACGGGCCTGTATATGTACTTTCTTGAGCAGGGGGACCTTGCGGGCGCTGCAGGATTTCAGTCCTTCACGGCGTAGTGTGTTACCAATTGTTTTCTTGGTGACTATGGTCCCAGCTGCCTTGAGATCATTGACAAGATGATGTAGTTCTGGGCTGATTCCTCACCGTTCTCATGATCATTGCAACTCCATGAGGTGAGATCTTGCATGGAGCCCCAGGCCGAGGGAGATTGACAGTTATTTTGTGTTTCTTCCATTTGCAAATAATCGCACCAACTGTTGTCACCTTCTCACCAAGCTGCTTGGCGATGGTCTTGTAGCCCATTCCAGCCTTGTGTAGGTCTAGAATCTTGTCCCTGACATCCTTGGAGAGCTCTTTGGTCTTGGCCATGGTGGAGAGTTAGGAATCTGATTGATTGATTGCTTCTGTGGACAGGTGTCTTTTATACAGGTAACAAACTGAGATTAGGAGCACTCCCTTTAAGAGTGTGCTCCTAATCTCAGCTCGTTACCTGTATAAAAGACACCTGGGAGCCAGAAATCTTTCTGATTGAGAGGGGGTCAAATACTTATTTCCCTCATTAAAATGCAAATCAATTTATAACATTTTTGACATGCGTTTTTCTGGATTTTTTTGTTGTTATTCTGTCTCTCACTGTTCAAATAAACCTACCATTAAAATTATAGACTGATCATGTCTTTGTCAGTGGGCAAACGTGCAAAATCAGCAGGGGATCAAATACTTTTTTCCCTCACTGTAGGTTTATCAACCTGCTTTTCACTGCAGGTTTCGCACACAGTCCTACACACAGTGTGACATACACAAGCATGCAAACACCAAACAACAAACTCACATGCGCGCACACACACACTTGCATACCCAACAAATTCACCTCACTGATCTTTTTATGTAAATTTAACCTAAGCTAATATCCCTGTCATTCCATTGAAAATAAATCTACGTTCTATTCCAATACCATTTTCTTTTCTCCATTCACAGAGGCGAGCCAACTCCATCAGAAGATCACTGAGAATGTGTATCATGCTCCCATGAGGTAGAGTACTCCGTCTCCCAACGTTTTCATCATGTCGTGTGATTGAATGGCAGCACCGCACAGATGCTCTCAAGGATAGTGAATGTAACGCTTCTACAGTGCCTGTGTGATTGACTGTCCTATATCTCTCCTCTCCTCCGCTCAGAAACATGCGCAAAATGGCCCTGAGGCAGTCGGACTCGTCTAGCCCAGAGACAGGCTTCAGGAGGAGCAACCCCAGCCCCAACATGAGACAGAAACGAGGTGAGAGATCACACAGCTGCAGCCAGCCCCCGCCAGGCCCCAGGCCCTGCCAAACCAGCAACCACTCAGCTCCGCTGACTGGAAACAAAAGGCAGGATCTTCCATGTACAAATCATCCCATAATGGCATTATGAAAGACACCACAATGATGGCACAATTAGCTGGGATGTTTTATCTGGGCTCTAACTATTACTGGCTCCAACTCTCTTTCTGTTTCTCTCGGCATCAACCCAAGCCAACCTCTCACCACCACTCCCCTCTGATCGCTCACTACATACACTACACTGGCAGATGAGGATGAGATATTGGGTACGTTTTCATGCTGTGTAGAGCCCGGCAGCAGAGTGCTGCTGCATCACAGTGAGAGGGACCTGGGCTAACGGTAGTCTGCCAAGGAGCGGCTGGTGGTGGTTAGGAGAGGAGAGTTGCTCTTTGTCTCTGGATGTGGTCAGTGGCTGGACGTCACTGGCTCTAGGAGTAAGTGGATCCGACAGGTGCTTAGTCCTGGGTGCATGAGGGCCTTTATTACCCCCACCACAGACTCACAGAGGAAATCTATGAAATCTCTCCCCTTCTCCTCTGTGGTAAATTAATATTACAGAAGCTGTTGTAGGGTTGAGCAATGGTGTTTTTCAGTACCAACCTTATACTAAAAATTAATGTCTACATTATTCATGCAGTTACACAACTGCAGTATAGTACGGTTTTGACTACAATGAGTTTTGAACTGTGGTCTGGTGGGACTTTTTAGCTTTGACACATATATAACTGATGCCAACCATTTCCCTGATTGGGACTGTTTCCTTATTGGGTCAGCAGGACCCACTCCAGAGGTCATGACCCCAAATACTGTAGTCCCACTAGTACACCTCCCACTAAACCTCCGCAGTCTTCTGGGTTTAGTCTGACCAGCTGTTAGATTCTGCCAACGGTACGGTATATACCACGCTCAGATAGTCTGACTGAAGGCTTTTCCATTCTCAGTCAGAGTCTACTATATTCTCTCTCATAGTGATCCAAAAGCTCTGAATAATTTTCTAATCTCAAGATCTCCAGAAGGCCAGAGTAACCTCAGAGGAGAGAAGCAGCAGCTGCGTTGACATCTCTCTGTTTGGAAGCTTTGTCAGAGGTGTGAGACGAGGTGAACCTGGAAGTTGTGATTATTTTGTGTTCTCACAATCAGAAGGTGATAATTATGTACAAGATAATATGGACATTTTGAGTGGTCCTCCAGGGCAGGTAGTTAAAGTGTCCTTGAAATCACACATACTACAAGACAAGCTGTCCATTTTGAAAAAGTGTAAAACTGTCTTCTAGTTTTGGCATTGGCAGGTGTCTAAATCCTTATACCCATGCAGTTCCAGCATGATTGTGGAGGACTCTTCTCTTCCTAATGCAGGTTGTGTTGTTGATGGAGCATAGAGGGGTCAATCAGGGATCAGGTTAGTCTATATGGTGAAAGGCTCCAGGAAATGGAATAGGGGTCTCCAAAATGTCCAGGGTTGTCATGGTATCCATATCCCTCAGGCTTTCTCTCTACCCTCTGCTTCTGCCTCCTCCTTTACCGTTGTCCTCTCCCTTTCCCTCCCTAGCTGAGGCTTCTGCAACTAATAACCCTGACCACAATGCTGCTCTTGCTAGAAAGCGCTTCACCTTGCAGGGCCTCTCCAATAGAAGGTCTCTTCCCTCAGGTAAAGAAGCCATGACATCTCCATTGACCTGCTCACCCTGTCCTTATCTCCACCAACACTCCATCCTGACTCATGATATTGGCTTCATCCCCTCTTTGAAGAGGTCCCACTCATTGTGTTGTAAACAACTTCAGCTACTCTCATTCATTCTCAATGTTGTTCATTATCCTTAGCCTGCTACTCTGCATGTCCTTGTGCCGCAGGCAGTGCTGCTAATACACACAGGCACTTTCGCTCAGAGCAGAGAACTAGTGTATGTAAAGTATGTCAGGCGGAGTCAGAGGAAGGCACACAAAATGGTCAGACTCCAGCCACCCTAGCCATAGACTGTTCTCTCTGCTACCGCACGGCAAGTGGTACCAAGTCTGGAACCAACAGGACCCTAAACAGCTTCTACCCCCAAGCCATAAGACTGCTAAAGAAGATAGCTAAATAGCTAATCAATTGGCTACCTGCATTTACCCTTTTTTTAACTAACTCTCTTGCGCTGACTATGCACACACACTGGACTCTACCCACACACTCACACATACTTACACCGACACCCCAACACACACATACACACACTACATTCACCCACACACACATAACATGCACACTGATGCCACACACACACACTCACTCACTCACTCTCACACTCACACTCACACACACACTCACACAGACACACACACACACACACACACACTTTCACACTCACCACATATGCTGCTGCTACTGCTCCTGCTTCACATACGCTGCTGCTACAGATCAATCTATTATCTATCCTGTTGCCTAGTCACTTTACCCCTACATATACACTCAGTGGCCAGTTTATTAGGTACACCCATCTAGTCCCGGGTCGGACCCTCCTTTTGCCTCCAGAACAGCCTGAATTCTCCGGGGAATGGAAACGTTGCTCAGTTGTTATCAAGGGATCTAACGTGTGCCAGGCAAACATTCCCCACACCATTACACCACCGCCACCAGCCTGTACCGTTGACACCAGGCAGGATGGGGCCATGGACTCATGCTGCTTACGCCAAATCAGCAGGACGCAACAGGAACCGGAATTCGTCGGACCACTCCTCAGTTGTCCAGTGTTGGTGATCGCCTGCCCACTGGAGACGCTTCTTCTTGTTTTTAGCTGATAGGAGTGGAACCCTATGTTGTCGTCTGCTGCTATAGCCCATCCGTGACAAGGACCGACGAGTTGTGCATTCCGAAATGCCGTTCTTTACACCACTGTTGCACGATTCTTGCCGTTCTCCTTCGACCTCTCATCAACAAGCTGTTTTCGCCCACAGGACTGCCGCTGACTGGATATATTTTGTTTGTCGCACCATTCTCTGTAAACCCAAGACACTGTTGTGCGTGAAAAGCCCAGGAGGCTGGCCATTTCTGAGATACTGGAACTGGCGCTCAAAGTTGCTTATGCCACTCATTTTGTCCATTCTAACGTTCGATCGAACAGTAACTGAATGCCTCGATGCATGTCTGCCTGCTTTATATAGCAAACCACGGCCATGTGACTCACTGTCTGGAGGAGTGAACCATACATAATAAACTGGCCACTTAATAAACTGCAAAAGTATTCATCCCCCTTGGCGTTTTTCCTATTTTGTTGCATTACAACCTGTAATTTAAATGGATTTTTATTTGGATTTCATGTAATGGACATACACAAAATAGTCCAAATTGGTGAAGTGAAATGAAAAAAAAATCTTGTTTCAAAAAATGCTAAGAAATAAGTAACGGTAAAGTGGTGCGTGCATATGTATTCACCCCATGCTATGAAGCCCCTAAATAAGATCTGGTGCAACCAATTATCTTCAGAAGTTACATAATTAGTTAAATAAAGTCCACCTGTGTGCAATCTAAGTGTCACATGATCTGTCACATGATCTCAGTATATATACACCTGTTCTGAAAGGCCCCAGAGTCTGCAACACCACCAAGCAAGTGGCACCATGAAGACCAAGGAGCTCTCCAAACAGGTCAGGGACAAAGTTGTGGATAAGTACAGATCAGCGTTGGGTTATAAAAACATATCCGAAACTTTGAACATCCCACAGAGCACCATTAAATCCATTATAAAAAAATTGAAAGAATATGGCACCACAACAAACCTGCCAAGAGAGGGTTGCCCACCAAAACACATGGACCAGGCAAGGAGGGCATTAATCAGAGAGGCAACAAAGAGACTAAAGAAAACCCTGAAGGAGCTGCAAAGCTCCATAGCGGAGATTGGAGTATCTGTCCATAGGACCACTTTAAGCCATACACTCCACAGAGCTGGGCTTTACGGAAGAGTGGCCAGAAAAAAGCTAAATGAGACTAGAATTGAGCTTTTTGGCAATCAAGGAAAACGCTATGTCTGGCGCAAACCCAACACCTCTCATCACCCCGAGAACACCATCCCCACATTGAAGCATGATGCATCATGCTGTGGGGATATTTTTCATCGGCAGGGACTGGGAAACTGGTCAGAATTGAAGGAATGATGGATGGCGCTAAATACAGGGAAATTCTTGAGGGAAACCTGTTTCAGTCTTCCAGAGATTTGAGACTGGGATGGAGGTTCACCTTCCAGCAGGACAATGACCCTAAGCATACTGGTAAAGCAACACTTGAGTGGTTTAAGGGGAAATATTTAAATGTCTTGGAATGGCCTAGTCAAAGCCCAGACCTCAATCCAATTGAGAATCTGTGGTATGACTTAAAGATTGCAGTACACCAGCAGAACCCATCCAACTTGAAGGAGATGGAGCAGTTTTGCCTTGAAGAATGGGCAAAAATCCCAGTGGCTAGATTTGCCAACCTTATTTGCCAACCTTATTTGCCAACCTTATATTTGCCATACCCCAAGAGACTTGCAGCTGTAATTTCTGCAAAAGGTGGCTCTACAAAGTATTGACTTTGGGGGAGGGTGAATAGTTATGCGCGCTCAAGTTTTCAGTTTTTTTGTCTTATTTCTTGTTTGTTTCACAATATAAAATATTTTGCATCTTCAAAGTGGTAGGCATGTTGTGTAAATCAAATGATGCAACCCCAAAAAATCCATTTTAATTCCAGGTTGTAAGGCAACAAAATATAACAATTTGCCAAGGGGGTTGAATACTTTCGCAAGCCACTGTACGTACATAGCTACCTCAATTACCTCGTACCCCTGCACATCAACTCGGTGCAGTACTCCCTGTATATAGCCATGTTATTTTTTCTCGTTATTCGTTATTCACTGTGTATTTATTCCTTGTGTCAATCTTTTTATTTTATATCTTTATCTTTAACTCTGCATTGTTGGAAATTGTTGGACCCGTAAGTAAGCATTTCACCCTTAGTCTACACCTGTAGTTTACGAAGCATGTGACAAATAAAATGTTATTTGATTTGAATTTTCCAAATACTAGTATGTCTAGAGAACAATGGGATTTCACATTTTCGGGAGTATAGAACGACCTTGGCGTCCAGGCAATGAAAACGCATGAAGGCTAAATTCGCAGACAGGCAGCCTTAGTAAATGTCAGCCTGTAATGCTCTTGACATTTAAAAGCGTATTAACATTTTTTTAAGAGGATGGTTTGATTCAAGGTTTTTCTCCACAGAATACATCCTTAATAACAATACTGATAGCCTGATTAGCTACATCTGATATATTTTACAACAAACATGATATTGCTTTTAGTTAAACAAACCAATTGAGCAGGGAGATGGGTTTATTTCATTATTATTCTATTACCACTTTGGTGCTATTACAGGGGTCTTGTGGTTTGTAAGTGGGCAATAAAATGACTGTACATTACTGTGCATACTATGTCATCATTTGTATGGTGATAATCTAATACTGTGTAGTTGGGTCCATTCATGATGGCGAGCAGAGCAGGCTAGCTGAAGAGAAATGGACACTGAGGGGGTGATGTTTTTGTACTTATTGGCCTGCCGAGGTAATGCCTCGCTGTGAACTTGAGTTGCCGATAGATTTCATCTTGTTAGCATACCCCGCCCATCGGTTTCTAATATGCGCCTGTGAGGAAGCCGCCACCCACTCTCAATGTCCACGATTTGTCTTTATCATCCTGCGCTTCCTTGTGTCTCCTCCATTCATTGCACGTTTCTCAGTCCCACAGTCAACCGCCTGCCTGTTTGAACTCACTAATTTGATACAACTAAGAGAAATGAATGAACTTGAAGGGATACTGCAACATTTTGGCAATTAAGTCTCTGCGTGCAGTTTGAAGGAAGTTGAAGGTAGTTTCTGGAGCCATTGCTAACTAGCATTAGCGCAATGACTGGAAGTCTACAGGAACAGCTAGCATGCTTCAACTTCCTTCAAACTGCATGCAGAGACACAAAAATACTATCCATGAGTTCATCCGACTCTGGGTAAGTAGAAAAAAGGGCTTAATTGCCAAAATGTCACACTATCCCTTTAAGCTGGACAGTGTTTAGTGAGGAATCAACAGTGACAGTTATCACCAAGTCTTGTATCAGATCAGAAGTCAATCCAGAGAAAAGGCAGGAATCCTCAAAGCAATATGCTCCTTTAGCCTTGCCAGTCTTGCCATTAAAATGCTTCTCTTTGCCTTCCTGTGCCATCCATCCCTCCCTCCCTCCCTCATCTTCTTCTGCCCAGCTAATTGCTAACCCTGCCCTGCCTTTCACAGCCGAGCCTCCATCTAAGGTGACAGATGTCACACGGCGCTTCTCTTTAGCCTCCTCTATCAGTGTCTCCGCCACCAGACGCACAAAAGGTACCTGATTGCCTGCGGTCTTTCGCTTTCTTTTTTTCTCTCCTCCCGTTGCCATCACACTTTTTAAAGTGTCTGAGAGCAGGTACAGACCGGTTAGTGAGGGGGCTCTTTGAGAGAGAGGGAAGGGAAGGGAGAGAGAGCTAGAGATGTAGAAAGAAGGAGTCAGCTAAGGTAATGAGAAAAAGGTAATTTTCTCAACAAGTCCTACTCATTTATGAAACTCATGAAATTGATGAGATGCATGAATAAAATCAGTCCTTCTCAGAAATGAAACAAAAAGGAAAAATAGTCTTTTTTTGAGAAACCATAGTAATCAAATGTGAATTTTGAAAAGCTGATATTTGGAATGTGGGGTGACATTCAGAGCTGCAAAGCAAGTGCAATTGTTGTTGGAATTTAGATGAGAACTTCATTTTGCCAATAGTCCCCTCCTTTCTTCTTCCTAATCAAGCATTTCAATAACTTAAGAGCAATGAAAACTGAGGATGTACAATAAAATGGATTTTGCTTCACTGTCTCAATAGATCTAATTTTCCACTAACGCTTCCACCATGCATTCATTGCCCCTGACAGGTCCTCCTTCAACTCATGTTAAAAAGACCAAAAGACATGAGATAAAGAGTGATCCAACACCATTCGGTTATGAAGGTAGCTATAGCTTCACAGTATGCTGTGGATCTGTGCATGTTCAGCCCTGTCTTTGTTAATGGTGACTGCTTTGCATTTTGGTGAGTTGATGTGTGTGCGTGTGTTTTGCCTGCTCCGTTGTGATTCAGTGTGATGCATGGTATATGTATTAGTTTGGCACAACAAGTGCTGAACAAGATGACTTCACATTAGCAGTGCAATGTTGTTGGTAATGAGTCAGTGTGGCTGTGGAGCAATGATGGCTCCTTAATATATTTCTGCATGCGTATATCAATTTCCTGCAGTGTGATGTAGAATGGCATCCCAGTGGTCTGTAAAGAGCTAATTTCCTCCCAGATACATTACGCAGTGCTATCCCTGCTGCGAGCAGACACAAAGGCACCACAAGCACTGATTCAGCCGTGCCTAGGTCCACTTCTCAACCAGGTAATCTATTGATGGAAAAGTCACACTATGATGTATTTTTCTTTTCCCATTTTGCTGGTTTAGGTTTTTTTTAAATTGTCTTTTTTTTGCCATTGAGTGTCTTGTTGTATGTGGGACCTTTTCGATTGGTTTCTTGCATTGTGTCCTTTAGATATTTCCAACTTCTTCACACCTCCTTTGACTGTCAGTATCAATGTTTCAGAATGTGCAATGCTTATGTGTAAAGGGTAGATTTGCAAAGCAGTGGATGTGTAATGCCATGTCTTAAAACTAACGTGTTCACTTCTTCTCGTCAACTGAATGGTTAACAGGACCATGTCTTCTTTCTGTGTGCTCTATTTCTCTAGGCTGGACCAAACGGTGTTTGCCTTCAATGGACACAGAGGACTTTGAAACCATCCATTCGAGTGCAGAGGAGCTCTCCAACTCTTCGGATGGTGAGGACCAGTCCAGTAATAAAAATGTAAGTTGTGTTAAATAAATCCTGACAGGTAACTTCATCCCCTCCATCTTGTTGCTCTTCTTAAATCCTTCCAATCCCTGGGAAAGAAATCCTCTCTGCTTAATTATTTCCCACCATCACCCATCTTGTTAACGCGGGCTGACGACTTGACATTTAAAAGACAAAATAGCCTAGTGTGGGTCTCCCCAGTGCCTCCGGATTTCTCCTTCCATTACAATCTGTCTGATGTATGAGAGCCGGAGATCTGTTTTAATGGAGGGCCTCCTTCACAACTCCACCACACTTAGAATAATGCTCCCTGAATCCAACATGAGACTGACGGATGGACCTGCTGTACACACACATAACACATACAGTAGATGGGTGGACACAGACACACGTCACATGACACACACACGAAAGTCACACACCATCACATACAAAGACAAACTACAACTACAAGGATAGGGTATCTCCTCTAAATCACCCTCCTCCTCCATTCTCTCCCTGCTGTTAGGGGGACAATGATCGCTTCCGTGTCCAGTTGACGTACGAGTCGAGGACAGCGCAGGACCTGTCTATGGAGTCAGGAGATTTAGTACAGTTCCTGGAGGAGGCAGAGAATGGCCACTGGTGAGTGATGGTAGCACCCACCCTCTCTATCCATTCAACACTCTATGAGAGTCCCAGAGAGAAACCATTTCTCCTGCCGTAGTAAGAGGGACCCAACTCAACACAGTCATATTAGTCCTTGTTCTTGCACTGTATTCACACTTACACTGCCCATTCCTATCTCTTCTCTGATTAAAACCGTGTTTGGAAAAATGGATAACTAATAACAATGTTGACAAACAGTTATTGCTGTGTAGTTTTGTATTAAAAGTTAATTCCTTGTAAAATTATTTCGATGAGGCATTCAGGATATTAAAGCATAAATGTTGAGTCAAGCTATATATCACAGTGGAAATTAAAACACAATGCCTAAATGAATAATATATCCGTCTGTTCGATTCATCCCACCACTATGAGGAGTGGTTATTACCTTCTCACAGTAATAGCCTCCAGAATCCATTGGAAGCCAGGGTGGATGAGAGAGGGATTGTGGTTTCACACAAGCTTTTGCAGTGCATTTAGAGATGACTAATACCCCATTAGATTAAAGCTGCACTTAAAAATGCTTTGAATATGCTCATATTTCATCACCTCATGCATATTTCATCTTTTAAAACCGTCTTCAATCATTTGCATCTTTGGGTCCTGGCACTAAAACGTCTCACACAACCCTCTCTCCTCTCCTTTTCAGCAGTCAGTGATATGACTGGATGGGAGTCAACATGTACTGTACAGAAGTTTCTAAAACTCTGCACAACTCCCATTGTGTATGATAGTTCTGAGTTCTGACTAACTAAAATCTGGTCCACCATTTGAATTGATGTTAGCACAGCACCTGTCTGTCCATGCCACGGATAAGGTGTCAGCTTCACACCTAGCATCCACACATAGGCTACAGTACGTCCCCAGCCCACTCACTGTTGACAGCATATTTACCTATGATGTCAACAAGAACTTTGTAACAACAAGAATGTCTCCTTTTGGGACCATTTTGACTTGCTGTGGGAGAACCAGCGCTCTTTAAAAGAGACAGGAATCACCCTAACCGCAGGGGTTCCAGGATTATCTCCAGCAACATTGCAAACTGTTTTAGAGACTGACGGCCAGGGTCTATTAATGCTCCAGTCCTCCCTGTCATAATCGACAACAGAGGACATAGAAAGCATATCACCTCCCGTTCATCCACCTCTGGCCTGCTAGCCCCCCTACCTCTATGGAAGCACAGTTCCCGCTCAGCCCAGTCAAAGCTATTCGCTGCTCTGGCACCCCAATGGTGGAACAAGCTCCCCCACGACGCCAGGACAGAGGAGTCACTGACCACCTTCCGGAGACACTTGAAACCCTACCTCTTTAAGGAATACCTGGAATAGTATAAAAGTAATCCTTCTACCCCCCCCCCCCCCCCCCCATAAAAAAAGAAAAGTGGTTGTCCCACTGGCTATCATAAGTTGAATGCACCAATTTGTAAGTCGCTCTGGATAAGAGTGTCTGCTAAATGATGTAAATGTAGTAATGGTAGTACGGTCAATGTAACTTAATTTATGTTTCTCTCACTCACCTGAATACCTACACTACCGTGCAAAAGTTTGGGGTCACTTAGAAATGTCCTTGTTTTCGAAAGAAAAGCAATTTTTTTGTCCATTAAAATAACATCAAATTGATCAGTGGAATATCTACAGAGGCGTACAGAGGCCCATTATCAGCAACCATCAGTCCTGTGTTCCAATGGCACGTTTTGTTTGCTAATCCAAGTTTATCATTTTAAAAGGCTAATTGATCATTAGAAAACCCTTTTGCAATTATGTTAGCACAGCTGAAAACTGTTGTACTGATTAAAGAAGCAATACAACTGGCCTACTTGAGATTAGTTGAGTATCTGGAGCATCAGCAATTGTGGGTTCGATTACAGGATCAAAATGGCCAGAAACAAATAACCTTCTTCTGAAACTCGTCAGTCTATTCTTGTTCTGAGAAATGAAGGCTATTCCATGCGAGAAATTGCCAAGAAACTGAAGATCTCGTACAACGCTGTGTACTACTCCCTTCACAGAACAGCACAAACTGGCTCTAACCAGAATAGAAAGAGGAGTGGGAGTGTCTAGTTTGAGAAACAGGCACCTCACAGGTCCTCAACTGGCAGCTTAATTAAATAGTACCCACAAAACACCAGTCTCAACGTCAACTGTGAAGAGGCGACTCCAGGATGTTGACCTTCTAGGGAGAGTTGCAAAGAAAAAGCCATACAGTATCTCTGCCCATCTTAATCTTTTATTTTTATTGGCCAGTCTGAGATGTTTTATTCTTTGCAACTCTGCCTAGAAGGTCAGCATCCCGGAGTCACCTCTTCACTGTTGACGTTGAGACTGGTTTCCGTTTCCAGCTACAATAGCCATTTACAACATTAACAATGTCTACACTGTATTCCTGATCAATTTGATGTTATTTTAATGGACAACAAAATTGCTTTTCTTTTGAAAACAAGGACATTTCTAAGTGACCCCAAACTTTTGAACGGTAGTGTATGTCATTCTGACAGCTATTGTCATCAGTAATCATGTGCCTATAAACCTGAATTACACTGTTAGCACTGAGACAGTTTACCCTAGTAGGAAGCCCACTGGGAGCAGTTCACCCTGCACTAACAGCGCAAATAAGCAACCCAGAAAAGGGCAAAAATAGCCCACAATAACATATGTAGCCTGAGAAACAAGGTTAATGAAATCGCTAACTTACTAACATCCGATAACATTCATATTCTGGCTATCTCTGAAACTCACTTGGATAATTCCTTTGATGACACAGTGGTAGCAATACATGGTTATATCATCTACAGAAGAGACAGGAATGCCAATGGGGGAGGTGTTGCTGTATATATTCAGAGTCATATTCCTGTTAAACTTAGAGAGGATCTCATGTCAAATGCTGTTGAAGTAATATGACTACAAGTTCACCTGCCTCAACTAAAGCCTATTCTTGTGGGAAGTTGCTATAGACCACTGAGTGCTAACAGTCAGTATCTGGATAATATGTGTGAAATGCTTGATAGTGTATGTGATATCAGCAGATAGATATATATTCTGGGTGACCTAAATATTGACTCGTTTTCTTCAAGCTGTCGACTCAAGAAAAAGCTTCAAACTGTAACCAGTGCCTGCGATCTGGTTCAGGTTATTATTCAACCTACCAAGGTATATACAAATGAAATCATCCACGTGTATTGATCCCATCTTTGCTAATGCTGCAGAAATATGCTCTGAAGCAGTATCCACACCCATCGGATATAGTGATCATCATATAGTAGCCATATCTAGAAAAACCAAAGTTCCAAAGGCTGGGCCTAAAATTGTGTGTAAGAGATCATACAAGAGGTTTTGTAGTGATTCCTATGTTGAAGATGTAAAGAATATTTGCTGGTCTGTTGTGTGTAATGAGGAGCAACCAGATGCCGCACTTGACACATTTATGACATTGCTTCTTCCGTTTACTGATAAGCATGCACCCATTAAGAAACTGACTGTAAAAACTGCTAGATCCCCTTGGATTGATGAGGAATTTAAAAAATGTATGGTTGAGAGGGATGAAGCTAAAGTAATGGCAAATAAGTCTGGCTGCATATTGCCAACTACTTTAATGACTGCAGCCTCGGCGGAAGTCGTGACAGAAATTGATAATAAGAAGATTGTGGTAGATGTTCTGTTAGACTTCAATGCAGCTTTTGACATTATCGATCATAGTCTGCTGCTGAAAAAACGTATGTGTTATGGCTTTACATCCTCTGCCATATCATGGATCGAGCGTTACCTATCTAACAGAACACAGAGGTTGTTCTTTAATGGAAGCATCTCTAACGTAAACCAGGTAGAGTTTGGCATACCACAAGGTAGCTGTCTTGGCCCCTTATTTTTTTCTATTTTTACTAATGACCTACCACTAGTCTTGAGTAAAGCCTGTGTGTCTATTTATGCTGATGACTCAACATTGTACATGCCAGCTACCACAGCAAGTGAAATCACTGCAACACTTAACAAAGAGCTGCAGTCAGTTTTACAATGGGTGGCTAATAATAAGCTAGTCGTAAATATATCCAAAACTAAAAGCATTGTATTTGGGACAAAACATTTGCTAAACCTCATCTAAATCTTGTAATGAATAATATGTCAATTGAGCAAGTTGAGAAGACTGAACTGCTTGGTGTAACCCTAGATTGTAAACTGACATGGTCAAAACATTTTGATGCAACGGTAGCTAAGATGGGGAGAGGTCTGTCTGATAAAGCGCTGCTCTGCTTTCTTGACATCACAAGCAAAAAAACAAGTCCTACAGGCCAATGTTTTATCACACCTGGACTACCGCCCAGTTATATGGTCAAGTGTCACAAAAAAAGACATAGGCTAATTACAGTTGGCCCAGAGCAGAGCAGCACAGCTGGCCCTTAAATGTACACAGAGGGCTAATATCAATAACATGAATGTCAAATCATTACATGACCATTGCGGACATGACACATGGTGGGAGCAAAAACAATTTGTGTATCTCTAATCATTTAATAACAATGAGATGGGTACATGTAGTAGTTCCAGAAAATAAGATATATTTACAAAATGACCAAGTAGGCAAGACAAATCAAAGTGTCAATGTTCATGTAAGAAATGGTTTGATATCAAACTCTTGGTTCAGACCTCTAGGAGACATGGTACACAAATGGTGAATCCAATACAAGTGCATTTTGTAAGCAGTATGTAAACATTATTAAAGTGACTACTGTTCCATTATTAAAGTGGCCAGTGATTCCATGTGTATGTATATAGTGCAGCAGCCTCTAAGGTGCAGGGTTGAGGAACTGGGTGGTAGCCGGCTAGTGATGGCTATTTAACAATCTGATGGCCTTGAGATAGAAGCAGTTTTTCAGTCTCTCGGTCCCAGCTTTGATGCACCTGTACTGACCTCGCCTTCTGGAAGATAGCGGGGTGAACAGGCCGTGGCTAGGGTTGTTGAGGTCCTTGATGATATTTTTGGCCTTCCTGTGACATCGGGTGCTGTCGGTGTCCTGGAGGGCAGGCAGTGTGCCCCCGGGGATGTGTTAGGCAGACCTCACCACCCTCTGCGGTTGCGGGCGGTGCAGTTGCCGTACCAGGCAGTAATACAGCCCGACAGGATGCTCTCAATTGTGCATCTGTAAAAGTCAATCTCTCCTGGCTCAAAGTAGAGGAAAGATTGACTGCATCACTAATTTTCTTTGTGAGGGGTAGTGGCGTGTTGAAAGCACTGAATTGTCTGTTCAAACAGCTAACACACAGCTCAGACCCCCATACATATCCCACAAGACATCTCTTCACAGTCCCCAAGTCCAGAACAGACTCTGGGAAAGGCACAGTACTACATAGAGCCATGACTACATGGAACTCTCTTCCACATCAAGTAACTCAAGCGAGCAGTAAAATCTGATTTTAAAAAACTGATAAAACAGCACCTTACGACGCAGACTTTGAAGAGACACACACACAAACATACGCACACACACACTGTAATATTGTAATATTGTACATTTTATATTGTAAATTTGTAATAATGCAATATGATGTATTATTTTATTTATGATGTAGGCTGTTGTTTTGTTGTGATGTAATTGTTTTCATCCTGTTTGTACTCCAGAAGCAGTAGCTGATGGGGGATCCTAATAAATACTAAATACATGAGAAATGGGGCCAGTGCACCTGCTAAGTCCCTTCATGTGGATGGTTCGCAGCAGGCCAAGGCCAGAGAGTGTTTGTTCTGCTAGGTAGAGCTGCAGAATCTACAATGTACAGACTGAATGCTGGGAGGATTTAAATACATATATGAAGCAGTACAGAGGCTCTGGACAGAATCAACTGTCGGAAGCAGCACCAAGCAGCAGCAGAACCAATGAATACACAAGCTTTCCATCACACGAAGCAGGGTGTCAAAAACTGAAACTTTGGACTTGACAGTTCACAGACAAGATCATAGAGAGAACTCCTGATCAAATACTATGCCTATAAATATGTGAGATTTTACACTCCCAGGGCCCCGTCAGCTCTCCCACTGCCAGTGGCAGTAGTCCAACTCCTAGCCACTCTCTGATCATTTCTATTCCAGCGTGAGGCCCTACAACAGCCTTTCCATTAAAGCCTACATTTTCTTTCATGTTTTAGGCTAGTCAAGAATCTTATTACTCAGAAGACAGGTCTGGTACCGCCCAGTATACTTCAGACAGCAGCAGAAGGAGGTCACTCATTCAGTAACACTACTGGTATTTCTGACATTGCAAGAAAACACTCACCCTAGCTCAAAGCGGTAGTTTGATTCGGTGCTGGGGGATTGGGCGGGGTGTGTGCTTGGGAGGAGGCTAATAGTAAAGCTTTTGCCTGAGAGGTGAACAAGCAAAGCATGATGTCATCCATTGCAGCATGCTCTCTCTCCCCTCCCTCCCTCACCTCAGCCTTCCCTTGAAGTGTTCAGTTCACGGCCTTGCTTGTCTTGTTGTGTTGGAGCTCTGTCCTTTAAACAAGTGCTCTCTCAGGCGCTTATCTGCACTGAGAGGAATGCCATCTTGTGTTCTTCGAGAACAGAGTTCCATGCTTGGGCAGTTGACATATTTTTGCTCAGCGCTTTCTCACTTGAAACCATTTATAAGCCGCATTCCAGCAGCATACTGGTTTGTACTACTGTAAGGTTTAATAGAAGCACTCTTCAATGATATTGATCTTAATCGATATTGTTTCACCATCATGTCCTTTTTTACACTGCTATTAAAACTGCATTGTTTGGTCAGTCATTGTATCCAGGCTATGGAACCCCTCTCTAAAAAGACTGATGGTGTTGTTTGAATCCTAAGAATCACCACTCCCTTCACGCCTGTTGCTTGGCCTCCATAACGTTAGATCCTAATTCCCATGTAGGTGAGTTTGCATCTTTAACTCTGCTTTTTTTTTTATTCCAGATATCTTCAGTGACATGTGCACAGCAGCTCTGTCTGACTCTGAGGAAAATGAAAGCAGTACGTGTGGAGATGTATCTCAGGAAAGTAGATAAGCATGATGGACCATTTGGCCATGAACTTCTGGAACATGCTGGTAGCCCAACTTGGTCAAGCCTCACAGTGGGGGAGCAATTTCAGCTGCTGTGCTCAGACAGAGAACAGCAAGTCTGAAGTCAAGTCAATAGTGGTGTAGGTGCCCTCTGTTGTTGCTATGCTACACTGAAAATAAGACTAAATGCCAGACTCTTTTGCTCGGCTCAGCTGCTGAGATTAAAGAAAATAACTTTTACCACCATTCTGCCATGTGTCAAACCCTGTACTTGATTAGTGCTCTCAAAGATATGCTGCTGTGCCTTTACGTCACAACACACTCCCTCCTCTGGCCTAATAAAGGGTGTATTCATTACATCTTTCAACGGAAACCGTTTACCGTTTAAGAACCAAACGGAAACAAACAGAGCAAATGGAATGAAAGGGGGAGGGAATTACCTGAATTTGTCCAATAGAAACTTTCGTTTTTGTTGGAAAACGTTTTGCAACAGAATAGGCATAATGAATACACCCCAGGTAACCCTTGTGAGGAGGGCCATCCTGGACACAGTGGGCCAAGAAGTACCACCATGGAAACTGGAGATCTCTCCATCAATGGGGAATATGTTTGATCTATAGACTCAATTGTAGACAAGCTTGATTGTATTCTTACCTTAAAAATTCAAACTTTGTTGTTTCGTCCTGCTGAATTGTTTGCCAGTTCAGTTGTTTTATAAATAACTGAGGGATTGCTCATTTTGCAAGAGATACTATTCCCTGAACAACAACATAAATAGCTCTTTACTTCATCGTATGTACATACATGTAATATATTTCTTTTTTTTCACTTTTGTAAAATCTGTGTATAACTATTCTATAAATATCAATTCCCATCTGATCATTATAAAAGTATTCATGCCATCTTCTTTCAGATTTTGGCTTGTTCCGAATATAGAATGTTGTACTATTATGTACAGTGAGGGAAAAAAGTATTTGATCCCCTGCTGATTTTGTATGTTTGCCCACTGACAAAGACATGATCAGTCTATAATTTTAATGGTAGGTTTATTTGAGCAGTGAGAGACAGAATAACAACAACAAAATTCAGAAAAACGCATGTACAATTTTTTATCAATTGATTTGCATTTTAATTAGGGAAATAAGTATTTGACCCCTCTACAAAACATGACTTAGTACTTGGTGGCAAAACCCTTGTTGGCAATCACAGAGGTCAGACGTTTCTTGAAGTTGGCCACCAGGTTTGCACACATCTCAGGTGGGATTTTGTCCCACTCCTCTTTGCAGATCTTCTCCAAGTCATTAAGGTTTCGAGGCTGACGTTTGGCAACTCGAACCTTCAGCTCCCTCCACAGATTTTCTATGGGATTAAGGTCTGGAGACTGGCTAGGCCACTCCAGGACCTTAATGTGCTTCTTCTTGAGCCACTCCTTTGTTGCCTTGGCCGTGTGTTTTGGGTCATTGTCATGCTGGAATACCCATCCACGACCCATTTTCAATGCCCTGGCTGAGGGAAGGAGGTTCTCACCCAAGATTTGACGGTATATGGCCCCGTCCATCGTAACCTTTGATGCGGTGAAGTTGTCCTGTCCCCTTAGCAGAAAAACACCCCCAAAGCATAATGTTTCTACCTCCATGTTTGACGGTGTGGATGGTGTTATAATATAATATAATATAATATATAATTTAATATGCCATTTAGCAGACGCTTTTATCCAAAGCGACTTACAGTCATGCGTGCATACATTTTTTGTGTATGGGTGGTCCCGGGGATCGAACCCACTACCTTGGCGTTACAAGCGCCGTGCTCTACCAGCTGAGCTACAGAGGAGGCAGCATTCCTCCTCCGGCGTGTTGGGTTGATGCCAAAGAGCTCGATTTTGGTCTCATCTGACCACAACACTTTCACCCAGTTCTCCTCTAAATCATTCAGATGTTCATTGGCAAACTTCAGAGGGGCCTGTATATGTGCTTTCTTGAGCAGGGGGACCTTGCGGGCGCTGCAGGATTTCAGTCCTTCATGGCGTAGTGTGTTACCGATTGTTTTCTTGGTGACTATGGTCCCAGCTGCCTTGAGATCATTGACAAGATCCTCCCGTGTAGTTCTGGGCTGATTCCTCACCGTTCTCATGATCATTGCAACTCCACGAGGTGAGATCTTGCATGGAGCCCCAGGCCAAGGGAGATTGACAGTTATTTTGTGTTTCTTCCATTTGCGAATAATCGCACCAACTGTTGTCACCTTCTCACCAAGCTGCTTGGCGATGGTCTTGTAGCCCATTTCCAGCCTTGTGTAGGTCTACAATCTTGTCCCTGACATCCTCTGAGAGCTCTTTGGTCTTGGCCATGGTGGAGAGTTTGGAATCTGATTGATTGATTGCTTCTGTGGACAGGTGTCTTTTATACAGGTAACAAGCTGAGATTAGGAGCACTCCCTTTAAGAGTGTGCTCCTAATCTCAGCTCGTTACCTGTACAAAAGACACCTGGGAGCCAGAAATCTTTCTGACTGAGAGGGGGTCAAATACTTATTTCCCTCATTAAAATGCAAATCAATTTATAACATTTTTGACATGCGTTTTTCTGGATTTTTTTGTTGTTATTCTGCCTCTCACTGTTCAAATAAACCTACCATTAAAATTATAGATGGATCATTTCTTTGTCAGTGGGCAAACGTACAAAATCAGCAGGGGATCAAATACTTTTTTCCCTCACTGTATATTTAAGAACTAGCTAAGGGCCATCAGTGATATGACTCATATGATAGATACTTCAACTGTTTATCATCTGACTTTTGTATAAATATCAGTGTTTCTAAGCCATAGAATGGCGTTGAATGCCCCAGATATTATATAACAACATACCACGGTATAGCAATCTTGTAATATAAAGAGCCTCAAAAAGCTGTATTGCTACTGCAAACATTTGTGTATTTATTTATTTGACTTTTATATCCAGGTTAGTCATTGAGAACACATTCTTTTTCACAATAACATATTATTCAATGAATGACCGTCAAGGAGCGTTTCAACTGTGTTTTAACAATTTGGGGTGTTTAATAATTAAGACACTGAAAGTTATCAGCATGTGCACAAAGGGACTGAAGACAGAGGAAACTCTAGATACAGTGTGGTAAATCCTGGTGATGGAATGTGAAGAAGAGGTCTGGATTTTTTTCATAAATGTATTTTGGTTCTTAATCTCTGAGACAGGATCTCTGCTAAAAAATATCTAAGACGTTATTAAATTCAGCCAAAAGGCAATGAATTCCCACAAAGCACAAAGCAGCTGCCTTTTTAGACCGGTTTTTGACTTATTTGTGATGATTTAAGGCTGTGTTAAAATGAAATGTAATTATTTAAGGTGAAATCAGAATGATTCTGTGACTGTTTTTATGGACCATGCCATGTAAGTGATGAGTGTAAATTACTTTTCTGTAAAGTATATGATAAAATACATGCATCTTGAAAGCCATTATTTATTTCTGCTCTTTTGTCAGTGATCAATGGGGTTTCAGGTAGCAGAATACAGCCAGCCATTGTAATTCCTACCTACCTATTGCTACTCCCCCAAGGGGAGGAAGAAAGACATTGTTAGACTTAAAGCATAATGTATTCCCTCAGTTGGTGACTGGTACTAACTTTTTATCTGCTTTCTTCTACCAAGATGAAATTCTATTTAAAAAACAAGCACATAAAGTTTTAAATGCTCAAGATATCTAGTCTCTGGCACCAGTTACATGAAAGAAATGATCAAAATAGCATTATTTATAGCACTTGAAAATTATGTCTAAAAACGTATATTCCTTCTCTCAGAATCATTCATTCTCACCAGAAAAATGAACCCAAACCTGCCATTCTAAGTGCATCAACAGATTTCTTTACATAACTGTTATGCAACATAATTTTAGATTAAAAGTTTGAAAGATATTAACATCTCGGTAAGCCAAATTTCCTTGCTGGTGAGTATCATATAGATGTACATTTCATGTCGTTTTGCATTGCCTTTCAGTATCTTTTTAATTTCCATTGGCATATACACTACTAGGGCATTCCTTAGCTCCACCTCAAAGTGTTCCAAAAAAACTGTATTGTGCAGTGACCTGGACCTTTTCAAAAAGGTGCTCATCACTGCAACGTGAACATTTAGTCCATCACAGCCAATCACTGCGGTAGAAATTGAGTGTGGTACAGGGAATGGCAGGGGGATGGAGGGCAAGGCTTCATTGAGCTTTGTTGTACAATGTCTTTGAAGTTACATATGGGAATACAGGGGGAGAGAGGACTTGGCACAAAGAGCTGGAGATGTGACAGGCATACAGAAGCTGGGACTTGAGGGAGAAAAGGAAAAAGAGGAAAGGGACTTGCTTGTGCTCATCACTTTGTCCTCCAGGCTTGGTGCAGGTTTCCAGAGGCCCTGTGAAGACAAACTCTGCACCGCAGCCAGAAGGGCCTGCTGGGAGGAATTCATCATGAGCATCGGCCCAGGGAACAAACTCTCAGTGATGACACCAGGGAATATTGGGCAGTTCAAAGAGGTAGGCCTGTACTATAGGTATTTTGTCTTGAAGCCTTGTCTGGGTGCAAGTCTGAGAAAGTTGATTTGCCTGAGTGGGATTGAAATGAAAACCGTAGGTTGGCGCTGTCTTGTTGCTCCACACTCCTCTTCATGTAGGCCTAGAAACTGGGGGGAGAGGGATAAATGATGTGCTAGACTATCTCACTTGTGAATGTACAATGCACCTTTATCAAATCAAATTGTATTGGTCACATACACATATTTAGCAGATGTTATTGCGGGTGTAGCGAAATGCTTGTGTCCCTAGCTCCAACAGTGCAGTAGTATCTAACAATTAACAACAATACACACTCATCTAAAAGTAAAATAATGGAATTAAGAAATATATAAATATTAGGACGAGCAATGTCGGAGTGGCATTGACTAAAATACAGTAGAATAGAATACAGTATAATATTTTATTTTTATTATTTTTGTCATTTAGCAGACGCTCTTATCCAGAGCGACTTACAGGAGCAATTTAGGGTTAAGTGCCTTGCTCAAGGGCACATCGACAGATTTTTCACCTAGTCGGCTCGGGGATTAGAACCAGCGACCTTTCGGTTACTGGCACAACGCTCTTACCCACTAAGCTACCTGCCATTTAGCAGACGCTTTTATCCAAAGCGACTTACAGTCATGCGTGCATACATTTTTTTTGTGTATGGGTGGTCCCGGGGATCGAACCCACTACCTTGGCGTTACAAGCGCCGTGCTCTACCAGCTGAGCTACAGAGGACCACAGTATATACATATGAAATGATAAAGCAGTATGTAAACATTATTAAAGTGACCAGTGTTCCATTATTAAAGTGACCAGTGATTCCATGTCTATGTTTGTAGGGCAGCAGCCTCTAAGGTGCAGGGTTGAATACCTGGGTGGTAGCTGGCTAGTGATGGCTATTTAACAGTCTGATGGCCTTGAGATAGAAGCTGTTCTTCAGTCTCTTGGTCCCAGCTTTGATGCACCTGTACTGACCTCGCCTTCTGGATGGTAGCGGGGTGAACAGGCCGTGGCTCGGGTTGTTGATGTCCTTGATGATCTTTTTGGCCTTCCTGTGACATCGGGTGCTGTCGGTGTCCTGGAGGGCAGGTAGTGTGCCCCCGGGGATGCGTTGGGCAGACCGCACCACCTTCTGGAGAGCCCTGCGGTTGCGGGCATTGCAGTTGCCGTACCAGGCGGTGATACAGCCCAACAGGATGCTCTCAATTGTGCATCTGTAAAAGTTTGTGAGGGTCTTGGGGGCCAAGCCAAATTTCTTCAGCCTCGTGAGGTTGAAGTGGCGCTGTTGCGCCTTCTTCACAGCACTGTCTGTGTGGGTGGACCATTTCAGATTGTCAGTGAAAAACGGAGAGGTATGTAATGTAGACACCCATTTTCCCATATCTCAATTAACTACAAGTTGCCCAGGTTTAATGAGGGATTTATAACAGAAGGGGGAATTTGAAGAATCTCTGATGAAAATGTATGTTTGCAACTTTGTAGTCAACCCTGTGTCCAGCGCAGTGTCAGTGGGCATCGTAGTTTGAATCCACGAGCCAATCAGAAACCCCGCAGTGCTGCTTCAGCTCAGGCTTTGCCATTCTTGTCCAATCAGATTACAGCCGCCTTGTTTGCCTTGCTTTTTGAATTCAGATTGAGCGAACTGATTTGTCCACGAGAGTACAATGTCCCAAAGAAAATGGATTATGCAGACAAACAATTAATTCCGACAATCGAAGTTAATTTCGCTTTTTCAGTATGCATTAGCTAATATTTAAACCAGGAGTTACTTAAATGTTTGTTTGTTGTACCGCAAATCTAGATATTTACTTTTAGAGACAGGAATAACCTGCAGATACCAGTGTCAATTCAGTTAGCCAACCGCTAGCTGAACTGGTCGACTAGCCAGTTTGCAACTGTCACCTGCGATTATTTTTAGTTATTTCCAAAGCTTTTGGTAAGTCATTTGACGTTTCTGTGTATTTCTCCCATCAACCATGATTATTAAGTAGCTAACTAACAAGCTGCACCCTTGGCCTTACTAGCTAGCACGCTAACCAAGGTAGCTAAAGTTGTTCAGCAGGTCGCTAGCAACACGTTGTGTTGGGTAATGTTGATAACTACTGTTAACGTTAGCCAGCCTGCTTCGTTCAGCCTTTGGCAAGGTTTTCCTCTGTACGTTAATGCACACATTGTTGCTAGCTAAAGAACGTTAATCCAAGTTGTTGCTAAATGGGGACGTCTGTTACTGTATTTATACATGGCCATGGGATATTGCTTTTCAATAGGAACAGTTCAAAAAAATCGACGTAGTACGTCTAACTTTGGGACACAGCTTAACTACACAGACTCCCAATGTTATGACCCAAGCTAGAGTCCGTCTAACGTTAAATATAATATAATATGCCATTTAGTTATCCAAAGCGACTTACAGTCATGTACGCATACATTTTTTACGTATGGCAAAGGTAGCTACTAAAAACGCTTGTAATACCCAGGCGGAATAACGATAACTAGTTAGCTAACGTTAGTTATACATTTAGAACAATAGTTGGAGATAGGAATCTTGAATAACTAGTTAGCTAACGTTAGTTTATCAACTTCTTACTTGCTCAAACCAACTTAGACATTGCACCAATGTGCACATAGCTAACGTTAGCTAGCTAACAGTTACCAATATTCAGATACGTAACGTTATATCTTATAAAACAAACCAATCGTAATCATGTGGCTAGCTTACTGTCTTGAATCTAACGTTAACACTCAGATCAACAACACTCGTCCAAACTAGCTGGCTTTGTAGCAACACAGTCAGGCCTAGTTCAGACTTCAATAAAACATTTATTTCCATCATTTTTATTCCAAGTGGTTTGGCAGTTGACACCTCGCTCTCTCCTCAAGCTCTAACTCTCCTAACTTTTGATTGTTTGGACAGGATTGTGCCACCACCCTTGTCACACTGCCATGGCTGACAGCAGCATAGTTACTTTCGGGAGGGCTCAGAGTCTGCTGGTGGACTCCTCTGTGTATGACTCAAGGATGGCTGAGACTACTAAGGATGTATTCCTGAGTTTGGACTCTGAAGACATGGAAGGCAATAGTTTCCCCTTCTCTCAATCAATTGGATATTAACTTCCTTTTACCTGAGGCTCACTCAAAACAGGAAGGACTTCTTTCTATGATTGCTTTCACATTACCTTTGCGATTCACTGAGCCCTTGGTCCTCTGTATTCTCTTGTAGAGATGCTGCATTGTGTCGAAACCAGAGTCGTTCTTGTGGGAGAAGCTGCCAAAAATGGAGCACTTGTCAAAGCACTGCAGGTACCATGCCTTAATAGTTCTGAGCCCAGTTGTATGGGTTGTCATTGTGAAAACAACATTGCATTATGGTTTGTTTCTTGTGATTTTATTTTGTTTTCAGGATAATGAGTACATTGAGTCACTGTCATTACAAATAAATGTAGGACTAATATAGCCTATATATTTAGCAATCTAGCTTTGGCCAAGATGAGAAGAATCTCACCCAGGTTCTCCAGTTAAACTTCAGACTCTGTCCTGTCCTTAGCCTTTAGAGACACACTACTGCCAAAGCTTTCATGGTGAAGGCAGGACAGGAGACATGTGCCTCTCTGTGTGTGAGTCAGGGGAGGGGAGTGGGCAAATGTGCTTTATCTGTGAACGTGAAGCAGTGGCACAAGCCTAACTGCGGGAATAAAACAGGTTCACCCTTGAGAACAATTGAGGAACTTGTCAGATCTGAAGTATGATCATAATCTCATTCTGGATGATGCCTCTGCATTCAATTTTTTAAAATATTTTCCACTGTCCTGTAAATCCATATTTGCATATTTGTGTTGTTGTAAACAGCATCATTCAAACATGGGTTTATGGGACAGTGGTTAACATTTATATATTTTTTAAATTGTGCAGGCATTATCCAGAATGAGATTTTGATGTAATATGAGTTGGTTTAGTGTTTTGCAGAGTTTTATAACATGCTTTAGACACATTTTCAAATTGCATTGTAGTCAATGGCAAGTGATGACTCTGCAAAATGTGACAAGCAATTTTCTCTTTAACAAAATATTTTAAAAAACAGTTTGGGGGATCAACTACAAGCACAGAAAGATTGATAATTATATATATATTTTTTACAAAAAACAATTGAACTTCCCCTTTAAATTATCTATTTTGTGGGACAATCTGTATTAGTGTCACATCCGCCAACAGTTTAATCAGAATGAATCGACAAAGAAAAGTCCTCCTGCTGCTTTGAACTTTTAATTTATCAGAACTTTCCCCCTAGATCGCATTTGACATTTGTTTGAAGTCATTGCCTTCTGGGTTGCAAGGACACAGGCCCCTTGTTTAGAGAATTTGTCAGTTTGGTGTCGCCAGCTTGACATTAATGCTTAATTTTACAGGCCATCAGGATAATGGAAGTCCCGGTGGTTAAGATTAAAGGAGGGGAACCGGGCGTTGAGGCCAGAGAGTTTATTTATAGAATTTATTAAATCTATAGTCAATATGGTATGTCTTTGTCCGGACTGGGAGTGTGTTGCATACTTTAATGCACCAAGGGGTCTCTTTGCATGGGCAATCACAGGGTGATTTGTGTGTAACTGCAGCAGTATCGTCACAATTACTGGTACATTTCACAGATTTCTATTAACACCTGGTGTCCAAGCTAAATGTCTAACATAATGATCTAACACGTTCACACTGTTGATTACTCTAGTCCCTCTGATTTATGGTAGCAATATTTGACCTTTTGTGTTCTTGATTCAATTTCTGCTCTTGACTGAATTTAGTGATTTAATCAAAAACTAAATAACGTCTTAATCTGAGTGAGCACTCAATTGTTTCATACGGCATTTAGGAATGTCATCATGGTGTGCGTTAGTCTGTGTGTCTCTGCAAATGAATGAACGGCTTTCAAGTACCTGAACTTCAATGTTCCTGTTTGCTCTAAACTCACCTAAATGTGCTATAAATGAGTCATTCATATTGCAAAATGATATACCCCTCATTATTATAAAATTACTCATTTTTATATCAAAGTGCTGCTTGCGTGTCCCTGCTCTCATTAACAGTGACTTTTAATCCACAGGATATCAACGTGCCTTGCATAAAGACAGACAATGTCAAAGAGTTTGGAGACGGAGAAAACACAGAGTTTGAGACTGTGTTCGTGCTTACAGACTTTGCCTCACCTGACTACAGCTACCTTTACAAACATGACAACCGGATCGTGGGCCCCCCGGTTGTTCTGCACTGTGCGGGACGAGAGGAGGTAAGGACAGGAGCAAATCACTCCTGAAATATACTCCCTCAATCACTCAGGGATAGTGCTCGGCTATGGATCATTCTTCTCAGGTTCAAGATCTGATGTTTTGACTGTTATGGCACAATTTAGCATCTGCCTGCTACGGGAAGATGAAGTAAAATGCAGAAAAAGTTGTGCTTTGAAGTTAAATAGATTTATAGAAGGGTTTTGATTGTTCCCGGGAACCCTGAGAAATGCATCACTGTTATCTGGGTCTAAGCAGAGCACCTGCTCAACACAGTCCGATTACTGCAGGAGATGGACACACCACTGGCCACAGATCACTGCACATCTCACCAGTCACCGCTCTAAGATTACTGTAGATCTATGGAGGAGTACAACACAATTCTAAAAACTGAACAAGGACAGACACTGCCGCAAAAGGCATGAAATATGGCCATAATATTCAGAATTAGTAATTATCTCAGGATCTCTCTCCCCTTATCTACAGAGCATGTTAACTTTGAGATGTATCAACAGAACACAAACATCACATACTTATAAATGCATAGGCCTTACATACAGCTTTGCTACTGACCAGTAAAGCACCCCCAAAAGATTAGAACTTGATAAAAGCAGTGGAGGAAAGTTTCCAATATCAGAGATTTATGAGAACCATATTGTTTGTTTTTGTTTCCCACAGCCCCTGCCATTTTCCTCTCGTCCTTTATACTCTACCACCATGCTCAACTTATCGCTGTGTTTCACTGGTTTCCGCAGCAAAGAGGCAGTTGTAAGTGTAATGCATTCAAGCTGATTTTGTCATTTGTAACACTACCAAGTACCAACATGTTGGGTTTGTTTGGTATTTTGATGCTAAGATATATTTGTTGGTGCCAAATGTCACTTTCCTTTATCCCCTGTAGAAACACCTGGTGAATCTGGTGCATCACATGGGTGGCGCCATCCGTAAGGACTTCAGCACTAAAGTCACCCATCTCATTGCATACTCCACTCATGGCGAGAAGTACAAGGTTTGTAAAACACCCCTAACCTTTCCTCCCATCTGGAAGAGCTCATGTATAAGCCTAATCCATATGATTTAGTTGTGATTTTGTGCCACCATTTCTTCCATATTTTTAAGTGAACTTCCTCAAACTTAGTTTAAACTGTGCAGTGGAACTATCAAAACTCGCTGAGTGCTAATACACTCCCTCATTGGTTCTTTTAAGACGTGTTTTCGATAGATTCTCCTCAAGGAGTCGCTCTTAACTCTCGTTGGATTATTTTGTTCACCACATGACATTTCACTTGCTGACTGACGTTTTTAGTTGTATTGATTCTCTGTAGTTCTGTTTGCTTTTCTCCATACCCCATCCTTTTCTGAATTGAAAGCTTAACTTGTTTCGTCATTTTTTGCTCCAGCACTTTAAACAGGAAAAGTAGCCTTGTTCTCTTAACAGACAAACTGAGCTGTTTTACATCGGAAGTACAAGAATGAGAGCAGTTTAAATACACATGCCTTTTTTCATCCTTAACTTTGAAGAATATACTTTTGTCCTCTTGCAGTACCTGGCAAATATAGCCTACATGCTGTTAATGTTACAGAGGGCAAATAACCTCAATACACATTTCTAAACAATAGATCATTCTCCTAATGTGACGTGTACCTGTCTCTTGTAGCTTGCTGTGTGTATGGGCACGCCCATCCTCACCCCAACATGGATCCATAAGGCCTGGGAGCATAGAGATGATGTGTAAGTACCTCCTCATGCTCCAGACAATGGCCAAAGCCAACTGCATGCCCAGTCCTTATTGACCTGATTGTGGTCTTCACATTCATGTTTGTACATCAACTTATACTATTGTATACAAAACATTAGGAACACCTTCCTAATATTGAGTTGCACCTACTCTTCCCTCAGAACAGTCTCAATTCGTCGGGGCATGGGCTCTACAATGTGTTGAAGTGTTCCACAGGGATGCTGGCCCATGTTGACTCCAATGCTTCTCACAGTTGTGTCAAGTTGGCTGGATGTCCTTTGCGTGGTGGACAATTCTTGATACATTTAAATTTTTTGTCATTTAGCAGACGCTCTTATCCAGAGCGACTTACAGTTAGTGAGTGCATACATCTTTCATACTGATACACACGGGAAACTGTTGAGCGTAAAAAAAAACAGCAGCGTTGCAGTTCTTGACACAGACCGGTGCGCCTGGCACCTACTACCATACCCAATTCAAATGCACTTACATGTTTTGTCTTGCCCGTTCACCGTCTGAATGGCACACACACAATCCATGTCTCAATTGTCTCAAGGCTTAAAACCCCTTTTTTAACCTGTCTCCTCCCCTTCATCTACACTGATTGATATGGATTTAACAAGTCACATTAATAAGGGATCATCGCTTTCACATGGATTCACCTGGTCAGTCTGTCATGGAAAAAGCAGGTGTTCTTAATGTTTTGTATACGCAATGTACATGCATAGGGGCTGACAACCACCTGTTCTTACAGAAAATTCCATGCTGGAGATGAAGAGTTCCGCACAGAGTTCAAAGTTCCCCCCTTTCAAGACTGTGTGCTGAGCTTCCTGGGTTTCTCAGACGAAGACAAGACCAACATGGAGGAAAGGACAGTCAAACATGGTATTGGCCTGAGATCTTGCTGATTCATATTTGTTAGAACTTTTCAGTATTTATTTTTTTGTTCTTTGATATGTTATGTCTAGTCTTTACCAAGGCTGCTCTGCATGTACACATTCCTGTTCAATAGTCTTTATTTCTGTCCTCCCTCATATTATGGAGTCCTTTTGGAGTTTCTAAAACCTTAATCCTAACGTGTTTCTCCAAGGGGGCAGCTACCTGGAGGTTGGAGATGAGAAGTGCACGCACATGGTGGTGGAGGAAAACTCTGTCAAGGAGCTGCCATTCGTACCGTCAAAGAGACTTTATGTTGTTAAGCAGGAGGTGAGCATTTCAGTGTAGTAGATGTCAGCTTACATCACTGAACCGGCAGGAGGCAGACACACTTTTAAAAATCCCAGATGAACAGTGTCTGACTGAAGCATACTACCTCAAATTCAGGCATTTATGCACCTCAAATTAATGCATTTTTCTAATACATTGGCACTGTCAAGTCTTGGAAAATTAGCATTGTTTTTTTCTAAGCAGTATGTCAAATAAGCATTTCTATTCAATGTGTTTAGTTGTAATGATATACTGACTTGGATGGATCAATATTTTATTTTCCTTTCGACTAGACAAGTAATTTGAACAGAGATAGTCAACACTGGTGTTCCCAACCTTGTATCAATACTCTGTTTCTTTGGCTGTTTAAGTGGTTCTGGGGGAGCATACAGATGGATGCCAGAGCAGGGGAGTCCATGTACTTCTATGAGAAGGTAAGTTCTGTCTGAGTCAATCTGATTTATCCTACCAATGCCCCTGTACAAATCTCTATACAGTGGAATGGACACTGCTGAGGTTCTATATAGCTGTGTTGCACACATCCTCACGAGTCTCTTCCTTTGGAGAGAGTGAAGTGACCTAGGAAAAGCTGAAAGAATGCATATTTTTCAAATACACACATTATATGTCCGAACTCCTTTGGCTCAGAGTTTCTGTTTACGAAGGTAAAGACAAGTCTCGGTATCACAATTTTCTCCCTCCAGAACGTAATCGAGCATCTGACCAGATGACGCAAGATTTTAGATCTCGGTTAAACAAGATTACTTTCCACCAAACTGAAGTCCTTTCCCATTTTACACTCATTTTCTCCATACATCCTCATCCGTCATGACCATGTTTCTGCTACTCTCCTGCTCTCAGATGGACAGTCCTGTGATGAAGAAGGCTGTGTCCCTGCTGTCCCTCAACACACCCAACAGTAACCGGAAGAGGAGGCGTCTGAGGGACACTCTGGCCCAGCTCACCAAGGAGACAGAGATCTCCCCCTTCCCTCCCCCCCGCAAGAGGCCTTCTGCCGAGCACTCCCTGTCCATTGGTTCTCTGCTGGACATCTCCAACACCCCAGAGACCTGCAAGGCCCTGGCAGGTGAGAGAGGAGCCACAGTCACTCATAATCAGCCACACATGTCATGTCACAGGGCTGGAAACACTGGGTGTTAGCCCATCAACTGTGGTTAATAAGCCCCTCTGTCCTCGTTAAAATTTTATGCAGGCAAAAAGAGACAGGGATTATAGCATAATTAGTGTCTCATGTCAGTTGTAATCAGGGCCCTGTCATAGACTGTGGAGACAGTCACTGCTGGTCGCAGAGGGAGGCAGGAAGAAGCAACATGCTCTGCTATTCTGTTTGAACCCCCCCCCCCCAACCCCCAATGAGACTGAACACCTTGTCTTTCAGAGGACAGTGTAGAGCGCAGCAGGCATATGAGGGTCTGTGCTGAGACCAGAAGGCAGATGAGGATGAGGAGGAGTAGGGGAGCAGACCAAGAGTGGACCTTCCACTGCACTAGCACCCCTACCCCACAGCTGGAGACAGGGACACTAGAGTGGGGGGGAATGGCCCAGGCCACAGAGACGGAGGAGGCTTCATGGATGGACTCGTCCCAGGAGTCACTCTGTCTCAGCGCAGGCCAGGAGAAGACAGGTCACTCAGTTTAACTGTCACTCAGTTGAACTGTCACTGTGGGGGAATCTGATTTTGCATGATATTAGAAACTATATAAGAAGGTTTTTTACAGCTGTCTTGCTGATCAAAGAGGTGCAACAGCAAGAATAGTACATTGAGAGTTAAAGCCTGGAGAGTTGATTTGAGGATGATATGATATGAAATACGTTTTTTTGTTGCATTCTCAAATGATTCTCACTAGCTAAGACAAAAGCCCAAAGCTTCCACAGAGTAGCCTTCACTCTGCATGTCAGACAAGATACCCATTTCCTCAACTGAGACATACAGGAAGTCAAAAGGTTCTGGATTGTGGATCGTCGAAGAAAACGTTTTTCCCCACTGTCTCAATCAAGATTCACTTTTTGACTCTCTGGCTCTTTTCCAGAACACTCCCGGCCGTCGAAGAGCTCTACACCTGCTGTCCTGAAGCAGTCGGCAAGATGGCAGGTCTCCAAGGAGTTATACCAGACAGAGAGCAACTATGTGGATATTCTCACCACTGTCATGCAGGTTTGTTGTTGCTGCTGCTGTGGACATCGGGCTCACAAAACACCACCGGGGATGCTGGGGTCGTTATCAGGCTGTCCCACCGGTGCCTGAATCGAGTTACCAGTGGGGGAGAAAATGATTAGGATTATGAGCATCAGGACTGTCAGCCAGGCAGGCAGGCTCCCACTCACACCACTCACCCTCTGTTGCTCATCGATCCAAGCCTCCGGCCTTTCCTTGTCTCATCGCTCCCACTTTGGCAATTCTCCATCTCTCTGCTTGCTGTAGCATTACTATGATAACAGTAGAATGGAATGTCCTCGCTCGCTCTCTTGTTAAGCAAACATCACTATGCCAAAAATAGTGTACCCACTCCTTGGCTCACTCCCCCCTAAATCACCTGTGTTTACTTTCACCCATGCCCAGTCACCCACCCCCACTCTTATGAAGTAACCAGTAGTATTGTGTCCTCTCTGTCCCATGCCCACTACACCATGCCAGCCCAGATGAGACAGATGGCAGGCTTCACGTCAGATGGTCTTTTAACACTGACTGCTGACAGGTCGACCCCATGTCCGCTGCCTTCTGAAGTCCGCCGATAAGCTGGCCTGTCAAGAGTGGGCTTGAATACCAATTACTCCATTATGATTCACACATGTTGGGCGCTTGTTAAAATGTATTTTTATTAGAACAAAATGTAATTAAAAGCCATTTGGAGCATTTTTTTTATACCTTTTTCAGGGAAAGCCAAATGTACAGTGAGGGAAAAAAGTATTTGATCCCCTGCTGATTTTGTACGTTTGCCCACTGTCAAAGACATGATCAGTCTATAAATGTAATGGTAGGTTTATTTGAACAGTGAGAGACAGAATAACAACACAAAAATCCAGAAATACGCATGTCAAAAATGTTATAAATTGATTTGCATTTTAATGAGGGAAATAAGTATTTGACCCCTCTGCAAAACATGACTTAGTACTTGGTGGCAAAACCCTTGTTGGCAATCACAGAGGTCAGACGTTTCTTGTAGTTGGCCACCAGGTTTGCACACATCTCAGGAGGGATTTTGTCCCACTCCTCTTTGCAGATCTTCTCCAAGTCATTAAGGTTTCGAGGCTGACGTTTGGCAACTCGAACCTTCAGCTCCCTCCACAGATTTTCTATGGGATTAAGGTCAGGAGACTGGCTAGGCCACTCCAGGACCTTAATGTGCTTCTTCTTGAGCCACTCCTTTGTTGCCTTGGCTGTGTGTTTTGGTTCATTGTCATGCTGGAATACCCATCCACGACCCATTTTCAATGCCCTGGCTGAGGGAAGGAGGTTCTCACCCAAGATTTGACGGTACATGGCCCCGTCCATCGTCCCTTTGATGCGGTGAAGTTGTCCTGTCCCCTTAGCAGAAAAACACCCCCTTAGCATAATATTTCCACCTCCATGTTTAATGGTGGGGATGGTGTTCTTGGGGTCATAGGCAGCATTCCTCCTCCTCCAAACACGGCGAGTTGAGTTGATGCCAAAGAGCTCGATTTTGGTCTCATCTGACCACAACACTTTCACCCAGTTCTCCTCTGAATCATTTAGATGTTCATTGGCAAACTTCAGAGGGGCCTGTATATGTGCTTTCTTGAGCAGGGGGACCTTGCGGGCGCTGCAGGATTTCAGTCCTTCACGGCGTAGTGTGTTACCGATTGTTTTCTTGGTGACTATGGTCCCAGCTGCCTTGAGATCATTGACAAGATCCTCCCGTGTAGTTCTGGGCTGATTCCTCACCGTTCTCATGATCATTGCAACTCCACGAGGTGAGATCTTGTATGGAGCCCCAGGCCGAGGGAGATTGACAGTTATTTTGTGTTTCTTCCATTTGTGAATAATCGCACAAACGGTTGTCACCTTCTCACCATGCTGCTTGGCGATGGTCTTGTAGCCCATTCCATTCTTTTGTAGGTCTACAGTCTTGTCCCTGACATCCTTGGAGAGCTCTTTGGTCTTGGCCATGGTGGAGAGTTTGGAATCTGATTGATTGCTTCTGTGGACAGGTGTCTTTTTATACAGGTAACAAGCTGAGATTAGGAGCACTCCCTTTAAGAGTGTGCTCCTAATCTCAGCTCGTTACCTGTATAAAAGACACCTGGGAGCCAGAAATCTTTCTGATTGAGAGGGGGTCAAATACTTATTTCCCTCAATTAAAATGCAAATAAATGTATAACATTTTTAACATGCGTTTTTCTGGATTTTTTTGTTGTTATTCTGTCTCTCACTGTTCAAATAAACCTACCATTAAAATTATAGACTGATCATTTCTTTGTCAGTGGGCAAACGTACAAAATCAGCAGGGGATCAAATACTTTTTTCCCTCACTGTATCTTTGCTAGATCAGAGGACTTTTAGTGGGATTAAGTCTTTGATTAGATGGGAAGGGAGGGTGGCTTGTTTTATATTTAATACATTCCTGCACTCTAAAAATATTTATCTTCCCCAATGTTGAATATAGATTTTACTTTCTTCTTTTATTTTTTATAACATTCTGGTAGTACTATTCAGTCTGAAATAGTGAGGCCTTATCTAAACCATTTGTGTTTCACAGCCAGTTGGTTGACTTCTCCGCCCATGCATAAGTCAATGGTACCAGCTGTGTGTATTGGTTTAGGGAATAGTAGGATCTTGGCTGTGTCTCACCTGAAACGTCTGTTCCTTTAGTTGTTCAAACTCCCCCTGGAAAAGGAAGACCAAGTTGGAGGACCCATTTTGGCTCAGGAAGAAATCAAGACCATCTTTGGCAGCATCCCAGATATCTATGATGTACACACCAGGATAAAGGTAAGCACCTCTCCTGAAAATGTCCCAAGGTTAACTGAGCAAGAGTTCAATCTGTCGTTGTCATCTAAAGACCCTCTGTTTCTTATTGGGTTGTTTTGACAGGCCGATCTGGAGAAGCTGGTCATGGACTGGTCTGAGGACAAGAGTGTCGGGGACATCATTCTCAAATACGTGAGTATAACAGGCCTTTGTTCTGAACATGTTGTATTTAGCCATTTTGGACATTCTGACTGTTCCTTTGTCTGTCAGTCTAAAGACCTGGTGAAGGCTTACCCGCCATTCGTCAACTTCTTTGAGATGAGCAAGGAGACCATAGTGATGTGTGAGAAGCAGAAGCCACGGTTCCATGCTTTCCTCAAGGTACGTGACCACTGTGGTGAGACTATGTACATTCGTGTATACATCCATGTGAGTGTGGGTTTTGAAGTTACCATATCCCTCATGTTAAAGTTCATTCATTGCTCATCTCTTTATGTAAAGTAAGCATGGAGATAAAAACTCTGTTAGTGCGTGCGAGCATGTTTAAATGAGTAGGCTGCGACATCTGTCAGGTCTCTGCTTCAACAGCAGTGTTTTCTTGCCTCCAGATCAATCAGTCGAAGCCCGAGTGTGGGCGGCAGACGCTGGTGGAGCTTCTGATTCGCCCCGTGCAGAGACTGCCTAGTGTGGCCCTCCTTCTCAACGGTAAACTACACACACACACTGCACACACTTGACAGCCACATGTTGAGCAACATGCTGCATATGTGGCATGATAAAGTACTAATTATAATGCATTCTCCTCACCTGCAATATGAAGAGGTGTTGCACGGTATCCCTAAACTTAGGTACTTTTTCAATACTAGAACATGAAAAACGGTTCGGTAGTAGAATTTCTGTTACTTTCGGTACTTCTATCAAATGTGTCTCATGCCGTATATTGACTGAGTGGATCGTGTCGGTCTAGTAATTTGTCTGAATTCTCTCAAGGCAGTAGTAGGCTAGGCGACATGCTCTTGCGCATGCAATGGGGAGTCAGCAAGAGAGAGAAACTCAGCAAAAATAGAAATGTCCCTTAATGAACGTGCACCTGTGGAATGGTCGTTAAGACACTAACAGCTTACAGACGGTAGGCAACTAAGGTCACAGTTATGAAAACTTAGGACACTAAAGAGGCCTTTCTACTGACTCTGAAAAACACCAAAAGAAAGATGCCCAGGTTCCCTGCTCATCTGCGATAACGTGCCTTAGGCATGCTGCAAGGAGGCATGAGGACTGCAGATGTGGCCAGGGCAATATTGCAATGTCCGTACTGTGAGACACCTAAGACAGCGCTACAGGGAGACAGGACGGACAGCTGATCGTCCTCGCAGTGGCAGACCACGTGTAACAACACCTGCACAGGATCGATACATCTGAACATCACACCTGCGGGACAGGTACAGCATGGCAACAACAACTGCCCGAGTTACACCAGGAATGCACAATCCCTCCATCAGTGCTCAGACTGTCCGCAATAGGCTGAGAGAGGCTGGACTGAGAGCTTGTAGGCCTGTTGTAAGGCAGGTCCTCACCAGACATCACCGGCAACAACGTTGCCTATGTGCACAAACCCACTGTCGCTGGACCAGACAGGACTGGCAAAAAGTGCTCTTCACTGACGAGTCGCGGATTTGTCGGAGTCGCGTTTATCGTCGCAGGAATGAGCGTTACACCGAGGCCTGTACTTTGGAGCGAGATCGATGTGGAGGGTCCGTCATGGTCTGGGGCGGTGTGTCACAGCATCATCGGACTGAGCTTGTTGTCATTGCAGGCAATCTCAACGCTGTGCGTTATAGGGAAGACATCCTCCTCCCTCATGTAGTACCCTTCCTGCAGGCTCATCCTGACATGACCCTTCAGCATGACAATGCCACCAGCCATACTGCTCGTTCTCTGCGTGATTTCCCGCAAGACAAGAATGTCAGTGTTCTGCCATGTCTAGCGAAGAACCCAGATCTCAATCCCATTGAGCACGTCTGGGACATGTTGGATCGGAGGGTGAGGGCTAGGGCCATTCCCCCCCAGAAATGTCTGGGAACTTGCAGGTGCCTTGGTGGAAGAGTGGGGTAACATCTCACAGCAACAACTGGCAAATCTGGTGCAGTCCATGAGGAGGAGATGAACTGCAGTACTTAATGCAGCTGGTGGCCACACCAGATACTGACTGTTACTTTTGATTTTGACCCCCCCCTTTGTTCAGGGATACATTATTCCATTTCTGTTAGTCACATGTCTGTGGAACTTGTTCAGTTTGTCTCAGTTGTTGAATCTTGTTACGTTCATACAAATATTTACACATGTTAAGTTTGTTGAAAATAAACGCAGTTGACAGTGAGTGGACGTTTCTTTTTTTGCTGAGTTTATATATACAGTTGAAGTCGGAAGTTTACATACACCTTAGCCAAATACATTTAAACTCAGTTTTTCACAATTCCTGACATTAATCCTAGTAAAAATTCCCTGTCTTAGGTCAGTTAGGATCACCACTTTATTTTAAGAATGTGAAATGTCAGAATAATAATAGAGAGAATGATTTAATTCAGCTTTTATTTCTTTCATCACATTCCCAGTGGGTCAGAAGTTTACATACACTCAATTAATATTTGGTAGCATTGCCTTTAAATTGTCTAACTCTGGTAGCCTTCCACAAGCTTCCCACAATAAGTTGGGTGAATCTTGGCCCATTCCTCCTGACAGAGCTGGTGTAACTGAGTCAGGTTTGTAGGCCTCCTTGCTCGCACACGATTTTTCAGTTCTGCCCACAAATTTTCTATAGGATTGAGGTCAGGGCTTTGTGATGGCCACTCCAATACCTTGACTTTGTTGTCCTTAAGCCATTTTGCCACAACTTTGGAAGTATGCTTGGGGTCATTGTCCATTTGGAAGGCCCATTTGCGACCAAGCTTTAACTTCCTGACTGATGCCTTGAGATGTTGCTTCCATATATCCGCATAATTTTCCTTCCTCATGATGCCATCTATTTTGTGAAGTGCACCAGTCCCTCCTGCAGCAAAGCACCCCCACAGCATGATGATGCCACCCCTGTGCTTCACGGTTGGGATGGTGTTCTTCGGGCTTGCATCATAACGATGGTCATTATGGCCAAACAGTTCTATTTTTGTTTAATCAGACCAGAGGACATTTCTCCAAAAAGTACTTTTTTGTCCCCATGTGCAGTTGCAAACCGTAGTCTGGCTTTTTTATAGCGGTTTTGGAGCAGTGGCTTCTTCCTTGCTGAGCGGCCTTTCAGGTTATGTCGATATAGGACTCGTTTTACTGTGGATATAGATACTTTTGTACCTGTTTCCTCCAGCATCTTCTCAAGGTCCTTTGCTGTTGTTCTGGGATTGATTTGCACTTTTCGCACCAAAGTACGTTAATCTCTAGGAGACCGAATGCTTCTCCTTCCTGAGCGGTGTGACGGCTGCGTGGTCCCATGGTGTTGATACTTGCGTACTATTGTTTGTACAGATGAACGTGGTACCTTCAGGCGTTTGGAAATTGCTCCCAAGGATGAACCAGACTTGTGGAGGTCTACCATTTTTTTTTCTGAGGTCTTTGCTGATTTCTTTTCATTTTCCCATGATGTCAAGCAAAGAGGCACTGAGTTTGAAGGTAGGCCTTGAAATACATCCACAGGTACACCTCCAATTGACTCAAATGATGTCAATTAGCCTATCAGAAGCTTCTAAAGCCATGACATCATTTTCTGGAATTTTCCAAGTTGTTTAAAGGCACAGTCAATTTAGTGTATGTAAACTTCTGACCCACTGGAATTGTGATACGGTGAATTATAAGTGAAATAATCTGTCTGTAAACAATTGTTGGACAAATTACTTGTCATGCACAAAGTAGATGTCCTAACCGACTTGCTAAAACCTATAGTTTGTTAACAAGAAATTTGTGGAGTGGTCGAAAAGCGAGTTTTAATGACTCCAACCTAAATATATGTAAACTTCCAACTTCAACTGTATATATATCTCCTCTGCCAACAAAACAACTAACGAACAGCAAAATCAGACAACCCCATAGTAGAATAGTTTACCTATTTACCTAGTCAGCTTGTCGATGTGCGAGAAATAGTTAAAGTTACGACTTTCGACAGGAAGAGAACCATGCATTCTAATAAGCAGTCAATATGCAACATTTCTTAAAGCAATCGCGGGAAAAACATTTTGAAAGCAGTTTTGATGGCCCTTGTTAAAAAGACCTGCTTTCCATCACTACCTCATTTATTTTTAAACTCCTAAAAATTAGCGCAAACTGCAGTTTTTTAAAAGAGTATATCAGCATAGTGCTCGGCAATTCGATGTGACTGCATACAGGAGACCGTGGGCTAAATAAAATTTTATTTTATTTGAAATGTAAGATGGGTCAATTGTAACAGGTAGGCAGGCTTACATTACATTCACTGTTGTACGTTTTTGGGGAAATTAAAGTAATCAATATGTTGCTAACTAGTAACAAGTTGTAACTAGTTCAGCCTTCCACAAAAAAATGATCCCGGCTTTCTTTTTTTGCCATGGCGTCGTTTTGGTATCGTGATACTAAACCTGGTATTGGTATCGAATTCAACATTCTGGTATCGTGACAACACTAGTATGAAGAGTGCTTGATTTGCAACTGAAATGTCACAAAGAAAAAAAGATGCTCCTCGCCTTTATCCACTGTTAAAAATCTGTCCTTGTCATGTCAGTTGTTTGCCCTTCACTTTTCATTATTCTATCAATTATGTATATTATTGTCCATTGACCCCATCCATGCTGCAGATATTAAGAAGCACACTGCTGATGACCACCCTGACAAAATCACTTTGGAGAAGGCAATCGAATCACTCAAGGAAGTTATGACGTGAGTCAACTGTGCATCTTCAGCCATGCCTGAAGAATTTTGTTGTAATGAAGTTGAAGCCTCATCCATTATCCCTCTCATTTACATAAAGTGATTGTAGCATCAGTTGGCTAAACTGAATGCATTTTATCCCCCAGTCATATAAACGAAGACAAGAGAAAGACAGAGGGACAGAAGCAGATCTTTGATGTCGTCTATGAAGTTGACGGCTGCCCTGTAAGTTTGTGTATTTCCTCACTAGAATGTGGCACGCTTTGTTGAGCCTTTAATCTGTAAATGGCTGTCCTCTAGCCTCTCCCTATGCATTCAGGCTGATACCACTATTTAGTTCAAATCATTTCCCTGGGAAGCATTTTTCGCGCTGTTCAATGCACATGTATATCTTGTAGTGCATGGCTTATTGTGCTGTGTGTATGTTTCAAGCTACATTCTGGACAGAATTTATGTAGAGCTATGTGTATATGTGAACCAAGCCATTTTTCTGTGTGCTGGTGTCCTGTTTTAAGGTGATCTATAGTGGACATGAGTTGGTACTAGAGGGAGTAAATTAGTACACCTCTGGCTATGAGGATAGCTCTATTTATCTGGATTTGGTTAAGCAGAACCAGGGCTGTTAGGGTGACCATATTAATGCCACACCGGCAGCCACGGGTCACGACCGCAGTCAAATTCCACATGACCGTTGAGTCACGGTAACTAGGCTTCTCCAAAACTGACCTCTGATGCCGTTGATGGTCATTAGTAGCCTACCAAACTTGCTAACAGCCAGTAGCTAATGGCTGGTACTCAGCACTCTATTGTCCCTCTAATCACTCTTGACATCAATGCAAATCAAAAATCAAACCAAACTCTTCATGAGAGCCCTTGGCATTTAGAGTTTGAGAGGAATAGGATCACCTGTTGTGCAGTGAGAGCCAGCTCCTCATAGCTGGTTGATGCATGGAATGAAATAAGGGTTCCTATAAGCTCATGTTGTTTTGATAGCCTCTATTAAAAAGAGGAGGATCCCATCAGCTTTCTATAGGCTAGGCCTACTATATATTTATTTCTCAACTTTCCTAATACTAAGCACATTGCTTCGCTTTACAATCAGAGCAGCCTACCCTGCTGGCATGAAAATGAACTGTGGGAAAAGCGTCCTCCATTCGCTATTCAAGTGCATATGGATGACGTCTTTTTTTTACCCTGCCCCTGTTCCGACAGGTGCATGATAATGGTCAATCCCCCCCCCCCCCAATAAAATTCCACAGGATTTTGTATATATAAACTAAAGACTAGATTAAATTGAGAATAGTTTGATGGGTGAGAATATTATCACTTGTGGATTATGCCAAGTGCGTGCAGTCTAAGGCAAGAAAACAGCGCATCATTTTTTGCAACTTTTCCAATCATAGAGCATAGCCTAGCCGATAGGCCTATATGTTTTGATAAGGTTTGTATCACAACTAAAGTGGCCAAATAACTCAAAACGTAGCCTTTAGGCCCAAGACCCCTGGAACACAGTTGGTTAGCCCATATATAGCCTACAGAGCCTAGTGAAATGTGTTCTTATAAGCCCAGTCATTGCTCAATCGCGTGTGAAAACAGTTTTGATTGGACACTATTTAAAAGTCAATCCCAGCTTTCTCGTGTTGCTATATTCATTGCTCAATTCTTTAAATTAAGCCCATTAATCCACTTTTCAAACGGTGTAGCCTAACTGGTATATTAAAAACGTAACCTCACTTAACCTCCATTTGCTATTCCAGTGCAGGTTACGGTTGACGTTTTTTGTTGGTCTTTCTAAATAAATATTCCACATATTAGTAGGCTATATGTGAAGACCAGATTAAGTTGTGATTGGTGAGAATATTTTCAACTGCTTGTCAAATTGTGAATGAGAGACTGAAGTGTGTGCAGCCTGCGCAAGAAACGGAGCAGAGTGCTAAAGTTGCATAAATAACTCTAAATTAAACATATAGGAGGACTTGTTTCTTTGTTAACTGCTCAACACAGAATAGTTGGAAAAATTACTAGTGTCATGCTCAAAGTAGATGTCCTAACCGACTTGCCAAAACTATAGTTTGTTAACAAGAAATTTGTGGAGTGGTTGAAAAACAAGTTTTAATGACTCCAACATACATACAGACTTCAACTGTATGTATGTATGTATGTATGTATGTATGTATGTATGTATGTATGTATGTATGTATGTATGTATGTATGTATGTATGTATGTATGTATGTATGTATGTATGTATGTATGTATGTATGTATGTATGTGTGTGTGTGTGTGTGTGTGTGTGTGTGTGTGTGTGTGTGTGTGTGTGTGTGTGTGTGTATGAACATTACAATGCAATCACAACAGATTTTACAACAGTGTGGGCCCTCAGGCCCCTACTCTACTACCACATATCTACTGTACAACACAAAATCCATGTGTACGTGTGTATAGTGCGTATGTTATTGTGTGTTTGTATGCATTTCTGTGCCTATGTTTGTTGCTTCACAGTCCCCGCTGGTGTATTTTATCTTTTTTTTATTTTTTTAATCAAATTTCACTGCTTGCATGAGTTACTTGATGTGGAATAGAGTTTGCTCCCAGTAGTACTGTGCGCCTCCCATAGTCTGTTCTGGACTTTGGGACTGTGAAGAGACCTCTGGTGGCATGTCTTGTGGGGTATGCTGTGTGTACAGCTTGGTACATTCAACATGTCAATACCTCTCACAAATACAAGTAGTGATGAAGTCAATCTCTCATCTACTTTGAGCCAGGAGAGACTGACATGCATATTATTAATGTTAGCTCTCTGTGTACATTCAAGGGCCAGCCGTTCTGCCCTGTTTTGAGCCAATTGCAATTGTCCTGAGTCCCTCTTGGTGGCACCTGACCACACGACTGAACAGTAGTTCAGGTGCGACAAAACTAGGGCCTGTTGGACCTGCCTTGTTGATAGTGCTGTTAAGAATGCAGAGCATGCGCTTTATTATAGACAGACTTCTCCCCATCCTAGCTACTATTGTTTCAATAGGTTTTGACCATGACAGTTTACAATCCAGGGTTACTCCAATCAGTTTAGTCTCCTCAACTTCCACGTTATTCATTACAAGATTAATGATTTGTCCTAAATACAATGCTTTTAGTTTTTTGAAATATTTAGGACTAACTTATTCCTTGCCACCCATTCTGAAACTAACTGCAGCTCTTTAAGTGTTGCAGTCATTTCAGTCGCTGTGGTAGCTGACGTGTATAGTGTTGAGTCATCCGCATACATAGACACACTGGCTTTACTCAAAGCCAGTGGCATGTCATTTGAAAAAATGTAAGGGCCTAGACAGCTGCCCTGGAGAATTCCTGATTCTACCTGGATTTTGTTAGAGAGGCTTCCATTAAAGAACACCCTCTGTGTTCTGTTAGACAGGTAACCCTTTATCCACAATATAGCAGGGGGTGTAAAGCCATAACACACATGTTTTTCCAGCAACAGACTATGATCGATAATGTCAAAAGCCGCACTGAAGTCTAACAAAACAGCCCCCACAATCTTTTTTTTATCAACGTTTTGGCATCACTGTGCCTTCTTCAGGGTCTGAAGAAGGCACGGTGATGCCAAAACATTAGTGTTTAACGAATAAATTACTGGCAGTTTATACATATGGAGGGTATGACTCTCTTTGTTTCTTTAGACCTGTCTAAAATAAATAATGGATTTATTGTGATGGTATAGGCTATATTAAATGCATTTATTAGACTTTTTTTTATGTAGATGTTCCAAAGGTCTGCTTCAGTGGCTTGTAGGCTATGCGTGGAAGCCAGAGATGCTAAACGTATGTTAATTAATGGTCAATTACTGTGACACCGGCAGTTATGTGCATGACAATCACCGGCTGACTAAATGTAATGATTGCCACAGCCCTAAGCAGAGCATCCAAATGAATAAACATTGTTGATGATAGGGTTTTTGAAAGACTAATGTGAGGTGAAATGAAAATTCCTCCATCAGCCTTGCAGTGAAATTACCTATCTTTAGACCCGTTAATACAAAATATGGCCCTTTAAAAGATTGAATCTGCAGTAGCGGGAAACATCGCCACAGTTATTGTTTTTATTGCAGAGCTGGCAGCATAAAAAAAAAATAATTCAGTACATATTGTGCTCTATCGCGTGTGCAATGATGCCCGGGGGGGGGGGATACGTTTTCGTTGATTGCAGTAACTTTGTTGTAATATCGCAGATGGACATGGCAGTTTCACCATTAAGGATTCAAGCTTTAAATGAGACCTGTGATTGAATCATGAAGGTATCTCTGGTGACGTGTTTATTTATTTATTCACAAATGGCTGCTGGATGTCTTTGGTTGAGTGTGATATTCATAGTTTATTTTCTCTCTTTAGGCCAACCTGCTCTCGTCCCACCGCAGCCTGGTCCACAGGGTGGAGACCATCGCCCTGGGAGACAAACCCTGTGACCGAGGCGAGAATGTCACACTCTTTCTCTTCAACGACTGTCTTGAGGTAACGCCCACATCAATTAAATAATACCAAATGTGCAAACCCGCCCATCTGGCACGCCAGGCAGGCTCAATTAAATACAGAAAATATTTGAAAGAAAAAAAAAAACATATGATTTTAACCTTGGTCCACATGTCACCTTATTGTAGATGTTACAACTTTACAATACACCCCAAACGCTCTCCAAGTTAACACCATCGCTCATTTTCAGAATATCTTGCCTTACCAGCTACTCCCCTTGCCCGTCCTCTCTCACCTTCCCCCTCATTATGAAATCTTTGGAATTTGAGATGCTTAGAAAATGGAGGGGCTGCAATGATTGTAGAAAAAAAAAAAGTGAATGATTTATTGGTGTACAATCATCTTTGCTGACACAGCTTCTTATCTGTCTCCTAATTAGTGAAGTGTTACGTTAGAATGGGGGTGAGAAATCAAACCCAGAATGGGTGAGGCGGCCTGATTCGAGAGAGTCAGAGCAGCATGGTAATGAGCATGGGGAGAGCAGGGGCTGCACTCTTGAGTTATTAACTCCTCTGTATTCAGATCTCCACTCCCCTCCCCCGATAGATATCACCCTGACTTCATGGGACAGACCCAAACATCAGTCCCGGCCCCCACACCGGCCAATTAAGCACATGCTAATGACTGGAACCGTTTGCCTTTTATAAAAGTCCTTATTGATTTGTCACAGCATAACCGCTATCACCCCTCCCCCTGAGGGGACACACACTTCAGATATAAAGTATGCAGTAAAGATAATGGACCTATTTTTATTTATTTTATCATCCTTGAGAACTAACAATCACCAAAATAAAAGCTAGACAGTCAGGGAAATTTTTAAATTCTAAAAACAATGAATTTAGCAGTTGGTTTTATGTTTAAGCAAAAGAACACAGCATTAACCATGGAAACATTTACAGAATAGCAGGAAATTAGCTTTAAAACTGCAACATTTTCTCTCCACTGCATAGAACTGAATAAATGTATCTCGGCTCCATGGAGAAATGTGTAGAATTGCAAGAAATTGGCTTAACATTTAAAAAATCTCTCTACATCGCTAAGATGGGGGACTCTGAATGTTTCTCTAAAATTCAGACTGGCCGACTGCACCCATTGCCACGCCCACCACCTAAACCCCTTTTTGATTCAGAAAAAAACTTGTCTGTATTTGCAGATTGCCAGGAAGAGACATAAGGTGATCAGCACATTTAGGAGTCCTCTAGGACAGACGCGGCCTGCAGCCCAACTCAAACACATCACCCTCATGCCTCTGTCCCAGATCAGGAGGGTCCTGGACCTGCAGGATACAGAGGGTGAGTGAGCCCCTGGCATGTTCTCTACTGAACTACCTAACAGACAGTGCTTAATTAACCCCCTAGAGTCGATGTCCGCGCCCCCCGTGGAAGTCTAATTGGCATAATAAAAAATAAAAATCTGTCTGTTTAAGCTAGAGGTGCCTGTTTTTTTTTGCATCTGCGGTGAAAGGTGACAGAGCTAGAGCAGTGTTTGTCAGACCATGAGATATCCCAAAAATTGGTCTTCTCACATAATTGTCTGTAGCGTCCAAACAGTTCGGGCTACACACTAATATGACCCCTCTGTGGAAAGGTGAGACTCTCACGTACTTGTTGGTTGTTTTGCTCTTGGACGCCCACAGGCCTCACAAGACTCATCTGAATGTCCCCCAGTACCGGTTGAAAAAATGAATGGAAGTACTGTATACAGTGCATTCAGAAAGTATTCAGACCCCTTGACTTTTTCCACACTTTGTTACGTTACATCCTTATTCTAAAATTGATTAAATGTTTTTTTTTTTTCATCAATCTACACACAATACCCCATAATGACAAAGCAAAAACAGGTTTTTTGAAATGTATAAAAAAAGAAACTGAAATCACATTTACATAAGTATTCAGACCCTTTACTCAGTGCTTTGTTGAAGCGCCTTTGGCAGCAATTACTGCATCGAGTCTTCTTGGGTATGACGCTACAAGCTTGGCATACCTGTATTTGGGGAGTTTCTCCCATTCTTCTCTGCAGATCATCTCAAGCTATGTCAGGTTGGATGGAGAGCATCGCTGCATAGCAATTTTCAGGTCACTCCAGAGACGTTAGATCGGGTTAAATTCCAGCCTCTGGCTGGGCCACTCAAGGACATTCAGAGACTTGTCCCGAAGCCACTCCTGCGTTGTCTTGGCTGTGTGCTTAGGGTCGTTTTCCTGTTGGAAGGTGAACCTTCGCCCCAGTCTGAGGTCCTGAGCGCTCTGGAGCAGGTTTTCAAGGATCTCTCTGTACTTTGCTCCGTTCATCTTTCCCTCGATCCTGACTAGCCTCCCAGTCCCTGCCGCTGAAAAACATCCCCACAGCTTGATGCTACCACCACCATGCTTCACCGTAGGGATGGTGCTAGGTTTCCTCCAGACGTGACGCTTGGCATTCAGGCAAAATAGTTCCATCTTGGTTTCATCAGACCAAAGAATCTTGTTTCTCATGGTCTGAGAGTCTTTAGGTGACTTTTGGCAAACTCCAAGCGGTCTGTCATGTGCCTTTTACTGAAGAGTGGCTTCCGTCTGGCCACTCTACCATAAAGGCCTGATTTATGTATGCACTCACTAACTGTAAGTCGCTCTGTATAAGAGCGTCTGCTAAATGACTTAAATGTAAATTGGAGTGCTGCAGAGATGGTTGTCCTTCTGGAAGGTTCTCCCATCTCCACAGAGGAACTCTGGAGCTCTGTCAGAGTGACCATCGGGTTCTTAGTCACCTCCTTGACCAAGGCCCTTCTCCCCCGATTGCTCAGTTTAGCCGGGCAGTCAGTCTAGGAAGAGTCTTGGTGGTTCCAAACTTTTTGATGGAGTCCACTGTGTTGTTGTGGACCTTCAATGCTGCAGAATTGTTTTGGTAGCCTTCCCCAGATCTGTCCCTCGACACAATCCTGTCTCGGAGCTCTACGGGCAATTCCTTCGACCTCATGGCGTGGATGCACCTGAGCTCAATTTCGAGTCTCATAGCAAAGGGTCTGAAAACGTATGTAAATAAAGTATTTGTTTTTTATTTAATAATAAATGTGGGGGGGAAATCGTTTTGTCATTATGGGGTATTGTGTGTAGATTGATGAGGGGAAAACATATTTAATTCATTTTAGAATAAGGCTGTAACGTAACAAAATGTGGAAAAGGGGTCTGAATACTTTCCGAATGCACTGTAGATGGAGACGGTTTAGTTCCAGAAATAAGGGGTTAAATACATGTAAAATAATAATAATGTTTCCTGATCTTTCTTATATCTCTCAGATATAGGACAGACACTTCAGAACAAACTTCCTTTCGATTTTTTTTTACAGGGGGTGGATTGTTTGTTGTTCCATGTAGTGAATCTGTTATTCAGTGTGTTTGTATCGGCTAATGGCAGTAAGGACCCAAAACAAATTACATCAAATGTTTTAATATATTTTTTCTACTTCAAGGGGTCTTGAAATTCTAAATCAAATAGCTAAATGATCCTTGGTATGACCTTCTTAAAACAATTCCATATAGCTTAGTAGAACCCCCCAGTTTAGACTTTTGTGGGTGAACATTATTACTAAGCAACAGGAGCCGTGCTGGTTTGTGTGCTGCTTTTGGGTGAATACGGTATTCTCTGAGCATATTTATTGCTCATTCTGTCCTCGTCTCCCCTGTATCCTTTTGGTCATATGAAATCTCATTCATAAGCGTACTGGATAGCCTAATATTGGGAGTCAACAGTGACAGTGTATGAAATGGCAGCCCAGACATAATCAAGTAAACATCTCTCCTCTCTCCCACTAGCAGTGACTCAGCTCATGTTTTTCCTTGTAATAGAGCTGCTAGGTTTAATTTCACTGTCAATATACTGTATTAGCTGCAAGCAGTGTATGTTGATTAGGGCTATGACGGTCATGGAGTTTTTGTTAATATTGGTCAGCCAAATGACCACGGTCACCGTTATAACTGTTCGAGTAGCAAAATGCACTTTTTTCTTTTTAAGAAGCGCATTTTCTCCTCTCCTCTGCATGTGCTGCCATAGAAATAGAATGTGCGTCCCCATTCAAGTCAATGATGGCGTAATGGGTGGATTGGTGGCCATTGCGAGTGTAAGTAAAGCATATGAGCAAGGTTGCCTAGGCAACCGAAGACTTGTTTGCTACAACACTGCTTGTTTCAGCAAGGACCAACAAAGTTTCATCAGTTAAGAGTCCATGCTACCGCAGAAAGTGACTCGACCGCACGAATGCCCGGTCGTCCTGTCTTCAGTCACCTGTTCATTCCACACACAAAAAAACAGTTATTTTATTTTCATGATGGTCTTCATCCATAACCGTTGGTTATACGGTAATTGTGCCAGCCCTAATGTTGATACATACAGAGATGCCCCTCTATGCGTCTTAAAGAGAAATGGAAATGTTTGGCAGAAATTAGTTTGGCCAGCTAGACTATTATTTAATTTTTTTACATTGAGTCGACCAAACCAGAAAACTCAGCTCTTTCTCCCTACCCCCATATCTCTCCCTATTTCTCTCAGATTGCCATAATGCCTTTGCCCTGGTGGTGCGCCTGCCTACGGAGCAGGATAATCTTCTCTTCAGCTTCCAGCTGACCACTGAGGACACAATGAAGTCAACCTGGCTGAAGATGCTCTGTCGCCAGGTGGCCAACACCATCTGCAAGGCTGACGCGGTGAGAGAGACGGCGAGAGACAGTGGTCCACTGAGCCGCTATAGGCCAAACGGGGCTGGGTGGGAGGGCTCCTCCTGAGAACACAAGCTGCAACACATGCTGCCTGTCTGCTCGTCCTCTCACTAACACTGCCAGGCTGGCTGGAGAGACCAAGGCATCCCTCACTGGTCTGGTGTGCTCATGCAGAACACAGTGTCTGGACTCTGGAGGTTGATGAGGACACAAATGCAATGATTTAATTGTTTAGGCCACTGTTTTATTACATTTACAAATTACGTTGCGCAAGAGTCCTTTTTGGTCATTCTAATCCTATTAGATTGTCCTCTGTTTAAACTGGAAGATAGATTAATGTAATTAGAAGTGGAATTGTATTTGAACTTTAACACTTCAGACATAGATGGGTTAGTTTATGTCTCCTTCACAGGTCTTTTCACTGATGTAGTATTAGGGATTGAATGAGGAAGCTAACTAGTAATTGGCTGCTGGAGACAGACATATATTTCCCATAATTAAAAACAGGTGAAATAAGCTTCGGAGGTGTGCCCAGGCTGTCCCAGCTTTGAAGAGTGAGGTGTCCACTAGGTGGCGATGTATACCTCTAATACCGCCTGGGCTTGCTATCTTAATTGATTCACTGGCTCTCCCCCGCACCCTGAATACCAATGAGCTCCAGCTGCTTGCAAAAACGGACAACAGCCTCTCACTCTTTGCATTTTGACAGCGTTGCAGATTTGGCTGGATATTTATTTATATTTGTTTCTATTTTAAACAGGAAGATCTAATTCAGTGCACTGAGCCTGACTCTGTCCAAGTGAGCACAAAGGATATGGACAGCACGCTGAGTAAAGCCTCTAGAGTCATCAAAAAGACTTCAAAGAAGGTAAAATGCGCTCCGAATTAGCCCGTCTTACTCCTGTATTCCACACAGGCCTATGCTGGATATTAGACATGTTCACAGCTGCATGTTAGAAAGAGCTATTTTGTGTCTGAGGTTTTGAGTGTGACTGTGTTTACACCCAGGTAACGAGAGCGTTTTCCTTCACCAAAACACCCAAACGGGTGATCCAGAGAGCCTTCATGGCCAACAGCACACCAGACGACAAGAGCCCTGGCCCCAGCTCTGAGAACATGAGCTGTGTGGGCAGCAGTGCCACCCTGTCTGTAAGTTCATCCACCCCCCCCAACCATCTACTTCCAATGTCCAAGCCTTGAACAAGGCTTGTCTAACCAAGTCAAGAGGCTAAAGGGGCATATTAGAAGTGAAGAGGTTAATAGGGCTATGGCAGAGGAATCATACATAATTTAACATTTTGACATGGGTAGTCTAATGGCACCATGTACCTTGTTTCCCTCTGAAGATATGAACCTTGTTTCCCACATAAGTATGAAAAATGTATGCACTTACTAACTGTAAGTCGCTCTGGATAAGAGCGTCTGCTAAATGACGTAAATGTAATGTAAATGTAAGATTTGCAGTGCTCTCCATAGCATGATGGTAAATGGGTTACACATTAGGAGTTGATGTCAATTGCTGTTCCTCCAGTGCAAGCCATTTTCATTTTGACTGAATGGCCTGTTTGAACTTTTAGCTATTTATTTACTGTTCTTCTAACTGCGTCAGTGATGTCAGGCTTCATCTTTGATTACCCTTTTTCTGAGCAAGGTTACCTTTTGATATTTATACTTCCTTTTACTAAAATGGAAATGATTAATCATACAACACTAAATATTTGAAGAAAGTTACTGCTCTCAAACTTTGCTATTAAAAAGGGATTTTAAGTGCACCTTGGTGCAGTGCTGGGATAAGTAGTCTGTCCTGTGAGTTAACAGTGTCTCTTCCCCAATACTCTGTGACTGTAGATGGCTCGGTCCACCTCCACATTCAACCTCAGTGGTTCCACCAAGGACTCTGCTGCTGCCATAGTGCAGCGCTCTAACTCCCTGGACCACGCCCCCTGTCCCCGCCTCCGCATTCCCCTCTGTATTCGCACCCCTGACCCCACCCCTAGCCCACCCTGCCCTGAGGAGACCCCACCTAGGCCCCAACCCACCCCCACCAGTCCCCTTTACTCTACCAGCCCCCCTTCCTCGAGGGTCCCGTCCAAAGGAAGGCTTCCCCATGGTGCTTGCCGGTACCTGCAGGTCCCCTACTCTGACCCCCGCAAGACAGGCTGGCTGAGCCCCCGCAAAGAGACCCTCCTATAGGCGGCTGACTGACCTCAGACTGATGTGAGCATCACTATGCTGCCTTTAACTCACTGGGATAGGTGTTTGGGTGGTGGCTCTCTCACTGACTAACTCCTAATTCCTGGGCTGTGCTGGCACCAGGGCTTTAAATAAAATAAAAAATATTGGTTGCACTGGTGCTCTTAACTTAAAGGTGCTAGACAGGATTTTGGGGGGATTTTTGCATTGTAGATTCAGAAAATATCCATAATATATATCTGCAAGTAATAGGGGAATGATAGTGTTTCACAGTATTACTTACCCGCCAGTGTTGTGATTGGCTGCGATATTCGACTATTGATTTCTCCCGCTTGAGCGGCATCTGTTGTCAAAATGTGAAAGCTGTTCTGACTTTGGCTGCCGTTATCTAATGGAAATCGCTCTGTAATTTCCTGGTTGCTAAAATCTTACACTAAGCTCAATTTCAGTTTGTGAGAAAACAAGCACTGAATAGTGTAGAGAATCATTGTATCTAAATCGCTGTGAAATATATTTTCAATAACATCACATATTGTTTTTACAGTTGTTTGAAGCTGGTGGACCAAAACCGAAAGTAACTTTTGGTTTTGGTAGGTACAGCGATTTTAGATGGTACAATGATTCTCTAGACTATTCAGTGCTTGTTTTCTCACATACAGTGCATTCGGAAAGTATTCAGTCCCCTTCACTTTTTCCACATTTTGTTACATTACAGCCTTATTCTAAAATTGATTAAATAAATAAAAAATCATCAATCTACACAATAATCCATAATGACAAAGCAAAATCAGGTTTTTAGAAATTTTTGCAAATGTATAAACATTAAAAAATGTAAAATATAACATTTACATAAGTATTCAGACACTTTACTCAGTACTTTGTTAAAGCACCTTTGGCAGCGATTACAGCCTCGAGTCTTCTTTGGTATGATGCTACAAGCTTGGCACACCTGTATTTGGGGGGTTTCTCCCATTCTTCTCAAGCTCTGTCAGGTTGGATGGAGAGCGTCGCTGCACAGCTATTTTCATGTCTCTCCAGAGATGTTCGATCAGGTTCAAGTCCGGGCTCTGGCTGAGCCACTAAAGGAAATTCAGAGACTTGTCCCGAAGCCACTCCTGCGTTGTCTTGGCTGTGTGCTTAGAGTCGTTGTCCTGTTGGAAGGTGAACCTTTGCCCCAGTCTGAGGTCCTGAGCGCTCTGGATCAGGTTTTCATCAAGGATCTCTCTGTACTTTGCTCCGTTCATCTTTCCCTCGATCCTGCCTAGTCTCCCATTCCCTGTCTCTGAAAAACATCCCCACAGCATGATGCTGCCACCACCATGCTTCACCGTAGGGATGGTATTGGCTAGGTGATGAGCGGTGCCTGGTTTCCTCCAGACGTGACGCTTGGCATTCAGGCCAAAGAGTTGAATCTTGGTTACATCAGACCAGAGAATCTTGTTTCTCATGGTCTGAGAGTCTTTAGGTGCCTTTTGGCAAACTCCAAGCGGGCTGTCATGTGCCTTTTACTGAGGAGTGGCTTCCGTCTGGCCACTCTACCATAAAGGCCTGATTTGGTGGAGTGCTGCAGAGATGGTTGTCCTTCTGGAAGGTTCTCCCATCTCCACAGAGGAACTCTAGAGCTCTGTCAGAGTGACTATTGGGTTCTTGGTCACCTCCCTGACCAAGGCCCTTATCCCCCGATTGCTCAGTTTGGCTGGGCAGCCAGCTCTAGGAAGAGTCTTGTTGGTTCAAACTTCTTCCATTTACGAATGATGGAGGCCACTGTGTTCTTGGGGACCTTCAATGCTGCAAAAACATTTTGGTACCCTTCCCCAGATCTGTGCCTCGACACAATCCTTTCTCGGCGCTCTATGGGCAAAACCTCTTTTTGCTTTGTCCTTATGGGATATTGTGTAGATTGATGAGGGATAAAACTACATGTAATCAATTTTAGAATAAGGCTGTAACATAACAAAGTGGAAAAAGCGAAGGGGTCTGAATTTTAGCGACCTAGCAAATGACAGAGCGATTTCCACTAGATAACACAGCCACAAAGTCTTTACAACAGATGCTGCTCCGGCGGGAGAAATGAATAGGCGAATATCACAGCCAATCACAACACTGGCAGGTGAGTAATATATTATGGACATTTTCTGAAAGTACAATGCAAAAATTTAAAAAAATAATTCTGTGTAGCATAGAGTTAGGAGCTCCACATAAAATGTAGGAGCACCAGAATGTTAATATTTTTATTAATTGAAATATAGACTACATTGGGCCTAGTCTGAGTACCAGCCTCTTTAGCTAACATTCCACTCCTTGTCATTGCCAAAGAGACTTTCGGCAATAGTCGCAGTCGGTATTAGATAGAAAGTCGCAGCCCTGCTCGCATGTGGGGAAAACAACCTGTGGTTACCTAGGTTTCTCCATTTGGCTCACAGCAAAAATGTGACCTTTTTTCAAACGCAATTTTCTTGTTTGCTAGTTTTAGTCCATTACAAAACTACATTTTAAGAGATGTACAACAAATCTAAAGATTTATTTTCAACATTGCAGTCACACAACTTAGAAAAATTGAATATTGTAGGGCTTCCCTCATGCCCCTTTTCATGACTGTGCTAGCAGCCACGTGAATGCTAGCTAGCTACCGACTGGAACATTAAGCTAGCCAAGACCAACAACACAAACAGACTAATAGCTACAAGTAGTGAGTGGAGTTAAACTGACTATACTAAAGTTAAATGTTTTCCATACACATACAGTAGCTACATGTAGACTACTTGGACACCGGGTCCCCACATTTCCCACTCTCCCATGCCGAATAGCCTGAAGCCACAGGGCTCGTCTCGCAGGCTCTATTTCGTGGGACCATTGGGAACCGTAGGTCGTTATTTTTGACCTGTTTACATGTACATTGAACAACACAGCAGCTTTTTGGCGTGTTTTGTTATACAAAATGGCATATTATTATTATATTAATACAAACAAAAAACTGTTGCTTAGCAACCGGATATCAATGTGTTCTGTGGAGAGTAAAAGAGGCCATAGAGTACCAATATTTGCATAATCGTTGTGATTTTAGGTTAGCTGTGAGGGTATCGAATCAGGATCAAATCTTCTGTTCTCCTTGATCTCATTAATGATAGAATGTTCATATTTGTAAATTGCAGAAAGGCCAGTCTCTTTGGCACATGACAAGGAGTACAGGGAGTAAATTGTTAGGTAAAGAGACTGGTACTCAGGCTTCATTGGACCTATACAGTTGAAGTCGGAAATTTACATTCACCTTAGCCAAGTACATTTAAACTCAGTTTTCCACAATTCCTGACATTTAATCCTAGTAATTTTCCCTGTCTTAGGTCAGTTAAGATCACCACTTTTATTTTAAGAATGTGAAATGTCAGAATAATAGTAGAGAGAATGATTTATTTCAGCTTTTATTTATTTCATCACATTCCCAGTGGGTCAGAAGTTTATGTACACTCAATTAGTATTTGGTAGCATTGCCTTTAAATTGTTTAACTTAGGTCAAATGTTTCGGGTAGCCTTCCACAAGCTTCCCACAATAAGTTGGGTGAATATTGGCCCATTACTCCTGACAGAGCTGATGTAACGATTAGTTACCGGAGTGTAACTCCAGTTCTATGAGTGGAGCGGAGCCCCATAGGGGAGCTCTGCTCCTATTGGTTTACCCACTGCCATAAGGCAGCATCAGCCTGAGACAAAATTATGCACACACCTGCAGCCAATAGGAGTACAGGTGTCCCTATAAGAGGGGATGCCTCCCCTCAATCAGCCTCCCGAGAAATTTATCTTCAGCGAGACTAGAGAGGGTCGGCAGGGCCTGAAGTCCTATGGGGCTCCGCTCCACTCATAGAACTGGAGTTACACTCCGGTAACTAATCGTTCTATATCGTGGAGCTCCGCCCCATAGGGGAGCTCTGCTCCTATTGGTTTAAGGCGGAGCGTAGCGCTCCAAAATGTACTCACTGCCGAGCCCAACACTTCCCATTAAAATGAAAAGGTCAGGCCTAGCAATGGCTGCAACCAATTCCCGCAGTATTGCAACCACTGTCACCATACAAGTGTCACAATATACTGCGTCATCGGTTAAAAACCCGCCCCACCTAGTCCAATGGCAACACCAATGACTAGTGGGCAGATCACCAGAATACAGGCCATACTAATCTGTACTAGCAGATAGATGGTACCTCAATATCCTGTTACAATACTACCGACCACTAATGGAATAACACCAAGTGTCACTCTACATTGTGTACACGGTAGGCCGCCTCACTCAATCAATGGAACCCCAGAGATTAGTGGGCAGATCCCAGAACATGATTCATACTAATCTGAACAAGCAGATGGATGACGTCACATTCCGTCAAATTGTCATGACCGGTCTAATAGTATCGTAACCAAGTTACTACTATTATCCCCCATCATTCCGCCTCACTCCAGTGAATCACTGGTGGGCAGATCAATGCATGCCCTCTACTGTACTGAACCTGTCAGTCAGGAGTCATGCCAAAAATATGTCCTTCTATCAGAAGCGGACCTGATGGAGACCCTGTCTCCTCAGTCCTGCATTCCTCTCCTCCTAGCTCAAGTTCTCCCTTCAGCTATGCTGAGTACAGACTGAGCCAAAGAGTTAGAAGACACATCTAATAGATAGAAACGGATAAATGGAGACGGTGTTGACCATGACGCCGCTCTACATATATCCTCTACCCCTGTTCCTCTGAAAAGGGCAGTAGAAGCTGCTACTCCACGAGTGGAGTGAGCTCTGATACCCTGAGGCAATTGTCGCCCCGCTGCCTCATAAGCTGTCTCAATGCTCTCACAAAGCCAATGAGACAGACGCTGTTTCGAAAGTGGTCTACCTAGTGCAGCCGCACTGTGACACACAAACAGCTGAGGCGATGACCTAATCGCTGCTGTGCGCTCAACGTAACACGCCAAGGCGCGTACTGGGCACAGGCGATGGAGCCTTTCCTCACTCCTCTCCCTATGAG